ATGATATGATATGATATGATATGATATGATATGATATGATATGATATGATATGATATGATTGATATGATATGATATGATATGATATGATATGATATGATATGATATGATTGATATGATATGATATGATATGATATGATATGATTGATATGATATGATTGATATGATATGATATGATATGATTGATATGATATGATATGATAAGATATGATATGATTGATATGATATGATATGATTGATATGATATGATTGATATGATTGATATGATATGATTTGATATGATATGATTGATATGATATGATATGATATGATATGATATGATTGATATGATATGATATGATATGATTGATATGATTGATATGATATGATATGATTTGATATGATATGATTGATATGATATGATATGATATGATTGATTTGTTTTGATATGATTGATATGATATGATATGATATGATATGATTGATATGATATGATATGATATGATTGATATGATATGATATGATATGATTGATATGATATGATATGATATGATATGATATGATTGATATGATATGATATGATATGATATGATATGATATGATATGATATGATATGATATGATATGATATGATATGATATGATATGATATGATAAGCTTCCATAACCATTGCAGGATGATGCCTGGTACCGTTTTAATGACGAAGTGGTGCAGAAAATGACAGGTCGAAAGCTACAGCTTGGTGTGGAAGAAGACCCAGAAGGTACTTTACCATCATCTTTTATAAACTGTGATAAAGTTGGAAGGAATTAACAAGTTTTAATACCTTTGCATTAACAAATACACAAATATATTTATATAACTGATCATACTGAAATGCTGTTTGTGCAATGCAATGTGAAATGAAATGCTCGATTCTAGCTCCCGATTTGAATTTAAGTTGTAGTGACAACTCCTTGGTTTTGTGTCCAATGGCCAAACTATATCAAAAAACCTAATTACCCAGATAATACATGATAAGTCAAATGTACATTTTGTGACTCGTATCTAAAGAGCGGGAGGGAAATGTCGAATAGCCCAAGCTCTGTTTGGATTGCAAAGAACCCCAACCCTAACCCTAACCTAGTTAGGGTTAGGATTAAGGTTAGGGCTAGGGTTAGGGTTAGGGTTAGGGTTAGTGTCAGGGTAAGGGTTAGGGTTAGGGTTAGGGCTAGGGTTAGGGCTAGGGTTAGGGTTAGGATTAGGGTTAGGGTTAGGATTAGGGTTAGGGTTAGGGTTAGGGTTATTGTCAGGGTAAGGCTTAGGGTTAGGGTAAAGCCAGTATTCAACCTGCCTTAATAAACCTAGGTTTTAGCAAGCGGAGTTTTTTAGAGTTTTTTAAAGTAACTCGTGCGTACTGTATGCCAAAAGAATAATTAAATGTTTGGTTGTATGCTTGACAGAAATTTAACCTAGGTTCTACGCTGTATTGAGTTTATGTATCACTTTGAAAAACTTACCCAGGCCTAATCCGGATTCAGTCTGTCGAGGTCGGTTCAACTGAAAAAAGCCCTGGGTAGGTTGCATTACGCAGCAAAAGCTTAGTGTAAACGCAGCAGCCGTCAGCTCCAAAAAGCTGCCATAAAAAAACAAAAAAAGCAAGACGGGGGCTGGGTGCGACACTTGAGCTTCTTTGGCTTTCACTGGCTTTCTTCATTGCCGTTGATTGTATGGCCGCCATTATTTCTGTGTTCTGGTTACAGATTATAGTTTAATCTTACACTGCAATGGTGTTAAGATTAAAACACATTCATTCTATGAGTCTAATGAGTTTACAGATTCAGAATGCATTTTCTGCTAGATAATGGAAAGCTGTCAAAGAAAGGAAAGATACCAAAAGGATATCACTCGTCAAAGAATGCCTATATGTTAGTATACTCAAGAAAAGGTAATGAAACGTCATCTCAATCTAAATATCTTGGATCTAAATACCGATAAAGGGATCCTTGTTAAAGGTTTTGTGGGTTTGAACTGTTATTATAAATATAAATTATTCTTTCTTCTCAGATGTAAGTTACTTGAAAGTTCCTTATCTTCTCTTTTCTCATTTCTCTTTTGAATCGTAAATAAACAAACACTGTAAACCTGTTTGGTGTTTATATGGTTGAATTTTTTTTAAATAAACGTGATGCATAAACGTGAAACAAAACTTTTACTGAATATTCATGATGTACGTTGATCTGAAAATCAGTTGGCAATAGAAGAAAATGATTTGTTACCCTCTATTAATCACAATTGCATTATGGTATAAATATTTTAAATTGAAAATTATCAACAAAGAAAATGAATATTCCATTGTGACCCCATCTGAGTAATTATAATGGCATTTAGATCTTCCAAAAATATTATGTCCCTCAAAGTGGGGGCGATTGTATGGTTTTTGGAAGCAAGGGCCGAGATTGTGGGGGAAGAGCTAAGAGGCTTGATCCCCCCACACAAATTTTTAAAGATACACTGAAAAGTAAATATGAGAACCTCTATGCGCCTTCCTTTGCGCCTCCCCCCTCACCTTTTGAAACCTATCTCGGCCCTTATTTTAAGGCTCCAAGACAAATATTGTCAAAAGGAGGGAAATATTTTTGTGTAATTTTGCCATGCACGGAAACGATATGCGTGTAATGTTGCATTGATGGGATTTGTGCTTCTGCTATGCACGAATATGAAGGCAATTTTCTATGCAGCAATCAATTTTGTATCAGAATCTCCAACAATATTAAAATCTGGCGGTGTAACAGGCCCTGGATATGCAATCCCGATCATCTGCTACCGTTTCCTGAAATATCCCTGTGTTTTAATTATTCTTTCCTTTTGCATGATTTCAGACCATCATGAAAAAAGGGGAAACTTAACGTATATTTCTTGTTGCTGACACTTAAGGTCGGATAACGACCAAACATGCTCTGCGGTCTTATGACTCCGAAGAAAGTCAGAAGAAAAGAACTTATATGCGCCATATTCCTGTTTTTGTCCTCACATGTTACTGCAGGTTTTTATCTATTTCAAATATCCTGCTGTATTTCCTTCTGTTTGATCTGAACGCTGTTGACGATTCAAGCTATTTTCATTGAAGGAGAAGAAACCATCTCATCTACTGAGGACCAGCAACTTCCCATTGAAATCCAGCAGTTTGTGGCATCAAATAACAGTTTCTTTGAAGCCTGGATAAAAGAAGTAGAAGATATGAGGGTTGGGATCTTTCTTTGTGTTTCCAATTCTTTTTCTAACCTATTTGAATTCACTTACTATAACTCTGGTTTGCGGCCACGAAGGGTAGAAGCGCTGTTTGTAGTAAACATATTCTAAAGGTAATGGCACAGAATTACAGAACCAAGGACCCCATTCTCCTGCTGACATTTCTACAGCCTTTATTCATTGTGCACAACTCTAATTTAATTGGTTTCTGCTCTGTCTCAGATATGATTGTCTTTCTCATGACACATGCAAAAGTTTTTAGGTTCTCCCCTCGTGTTTACAACGTTAAATCTAGAATTTCCTTGGGTTTCCCCTTTTTTAAAAGGTTGAATCTAAAATGTCCTTGGCTCACCCCTCGTATTTAAAAAGCTAAATCTAAAAGTTTTTTGGCATAAATTGTTTATAGTATCTTTGGTATCTTTTTGTACCATGGTAACATATGATTCTTGTAGGATGAAAGGGTGCGAAATGGTCGACAGCAACAAGCAGATGTATTAGATATATATAACAACATGCAGCCATCGTCAGGTAAATGTGAAAATCTTCTTTGTTTGTCAGGCGATCATAAAAGTGATGATGACATGGTGACAAAGTTGTATTGGAAAATTTTGATTAGTATAAACTTTAGGACAATTGAGGTTCACGAAAGACTATTTGCACTCAAATCTAGAACGATCGCGGAGCTGCATCAGAAACGGTAGAAGAGTTACGCCATAGGTGCATCTTTTTGTACGAATATGAGCTCGTTTGGGCGTGGCTCTTACTTCATAGTGACGACATAAGCTCCATTTTGACTTATTCTATGGACACTTCGGTACGCTCATGGTTTTTTGCACATTTCGATTTAAAGAGTAGATTCTAACCACGGCAATTGAACTCCAAGCTTTTGTCAATTAAAGCCAGTTTCGGAATGAATTTTTTGGGCGTATTGTGCAGAATGTAGCCAAAGTGTTTCAAGGAGTATGAATTCCCTTTTTTAACAGTTTCGCGAGCTAATACGTTCCAAGGACTTTTTACCACAATTTGAGTTAATGTACTAAATTTGCTGTTGATCGAACTTAATGCATTTTACTGAATCTTGCATTTGGGTTAATTTATTTTTAATTTTGCTACAGTAGAGACAAGTGAGTGGGTATCGACGGATTGGCTTCGGAGGTGGTTGAACGAGAAACAACCCAATACTACACCGATTGATAACACGCATCTAGTCTGCAAGCATGGAAGGTAACGAACTTTTACCTTTTTTGTGTTTTGTTTAATCAAACAATCCACGTCTAACAGCTCTTTGTTTTACTTTTGCAAACAATCCTTGTATATTTCAATTCGTCGTTTTGCATTTTTTCTAAGTAATGATCAGGTTGCAATTTGGGTTTTTAGGTTCGATCCGTGCAAAGTACATCTTTCAAAAAAGATCTCCAAATACTCGGTAAATATCCAGCAGTTATTATTGGTGGTGTAATTAAACATAATGTCTTGCATCGATTTCCTTTGTAATATCTTATTTACCAGCTTCTTTTGGAGTTATTCCCTCTTTCTTTCTCCAAGAAGCGAATTCCTAAGCTGAATGCGTATTGGAGTAGTACAAGTTTTTGTTTTGTACGGAAAAGAGGCCTGATGGAAACGGAAGCGAGGTAGATAAACTGTACCCAGAATTCGTAGCTAAAGTATGAAAACCTTCGTGGTTCAAAGTTTTTTAGTTGATGGGTCTGTTTTTTTGTGCCACATTTTAACAATTCAGTTGATGACTTCAATCTATTTCTGCATTCATCAGCTCAGCCTTGTGCCAATTTTTTTTGGCTGTAAAAATGCGCCGAGTTAGGCAAATAAGAAACTGCCAGGAAAATCAAGTTTTTAAGTTGAAATTGAGAAGGGTTATTGATAAGATAATCATGTTAAGTTTTATCTTCATCTTTAAAAGCAACGAGATGGATTTAACTGATGTTGTAACGACTATGCAATCATGTTTCTTCGATATTGTTTTGTTTCACTGAAAATGCTTATGAGGTTTAATTTGCTCTAGCTGTATTTTTTGTAGGCAGAGAAACTGTTTGAGAAATACGGAGGCCTTCACAGGTTACAAAGCGATGCGCTTTGTGTGAAGTGCGTTTTCAATCGAGCAAAGCGAATTCAGTTTGAAGCTCGAATTGACAGGGATAGCAAGATAATTGGGAATGCAATCAAATCAACTTGCAGGTTTGTGAGGATTTCTTTGGACAGAATTTTGAAGGTAGTCTCCAGCGTTGATCATCGGTCTCAAATACTGATTATCATTCTCAAATATTGGAGAGAAGTTTGACCATCTTAGCCCATTATATGTATACTTAGCTCCATATATTTTATTTGATTGATTGTCTCAGGATGACGTCACAAAAGTCTATTTTTAGAACTTTTCAAACTGGATCCTGTAACCTGAAAGAGCATCATAAAATACCTTTAATGGTGCAAAATCAGTTAAATGTGTGACAAATTTGCTGAGATATGGCCCTATGAGCACCAGGTCCTTCCCCATCAAAATTTTCTAAAGATTTTTTATGGCGTCCAACTCAAAAAACTTTATGAGCATTGTTCATAGAATGATGCAGATAAATTATGTCAAAGAAAAAAAAACGGTTGTAAAGTTGCGATCGTCTTGTCTTTATTAAGGTTACCAATTATTTTATTCTTAAATATTCCACATGACTCCTTGAATTTATACTCAGTTCTTACGCAGACTGAATGGATTTCGAATTTGTTTTTAGACGATCTGTATCTACATCTGATTCTCATTCTGACACTTTGAATTTTCTAATTGATACAACAGTGTCTTTATTAAAGTATTTTGGTAAACATGGCTGTTTAAAATGAAATGATTGTCCTCAGATTCATCCCCGGTGCAACATCGTGTTCACTTCCAAGCAGTCGTTTTCATTGACAGAGTCTGGCGGTAAAATTCTTTTAAATCATCGTAAAGGCTCACAATGTTGAGATAAGGCACAGTGATAAATTATATCGAGAAATGACATGTTTTATCTTTTCGTTCACATTACAGTGGTGTAAATAGCTTTTGGATTGGACGGTCGTCTTTGAAGCAGTGGAAACGACTGGCCTTGGAAACTGCGAGATTTGATGATGCTGATGACGTAAGCGATGTCACTGAAGAACTTTACGCGAATCAAAACAGCAAGTCAGAGCAAGATAACCTCGATAATGCGAAGGAAACGTCTCGTACAAAGGAGAATGGTTTGACAAAAGAGATCTCTTCTGAGAAGAATAGCACACCATCGCGTGAGCAACAGCTTTCTCTGAAACGAAAACTCGAGGAAGAACGCGAAGACAGGGGTGGAAAATTAGCGAAATTAGAAGACCAATTCAATGATTTGAACGGACTGAAAGAAACAAGTTCTGCGGAAGTTATTGATTGTGGCAATGATGTCAGTATTCAAATCACTGAGCAAGAAAGTGATTTTAACTCGGAAATCCAATGCACAGAGCATGGCAAGTATCGAATTTATTATTGAATAAGATTAGAAGAAAGATCCTCGCAGCTCTTGAATTTATGTGGGTCTTCAATGGGTCTAGTATAGACTGACTGGACTGGTATATTTTAATCATACAACTCAATGCATTGCTACTGAGTTGCTATACCGGAATAGCTTTGTTGACTTTTCTGTAGATTAAGGAGAAATGGCATGACATTGGCTAGGGACCGGCTTTAGATGACATGGACTCAGCTAGATTGGCCTGGACTGGGATTAATTGGGAAAGGCAAGGCATGGGTTGATCAAAATGGATTTAAACTAGTTATCCTATTGTATCCCCTGCTTTGAGGTGTCGAATGTCCAAAGGTGCTTCTTGTTTTGAAGTATCTGCTGTTTTGAGGTGTCCTTTGTTTGGAGCTGTCCTATGTTTTGGAGTGTCCGCTATTCTGGGATGTCCGTTGTCCGGAGGTGTCTGTTATCTATAGGTGTCCGTTGTCTTGAGGTTTTCCGTCGTACAGCGGTATTCTCCTAAGAGACCAACACGAATAATTTTAGGTTGAAGTTGTATTAAACACTATTTAAACAAGATTCGTGTTACTTGTTTTAAACAGGTAGGATCATATCATAAGCCAGGATCATATTGACTTTCTGTGTTTTGTTATTTACGAGTTCATTTACTCTGATTCACATCTCAGCAACTACTGGACTAGAGGCAAAGAGCAACATAACACACCCATGTTTTGTTTGAAGCAGCCAAATTCAATCACTTGTGAACCTTTAGCGCCGTACAGGTTATACAGCACCGTGCAGGTTATACAGCGATGTTTTCGAAAAATTTTGCTTCCCCACCAACTAGATTTGATTATTTCATTCAATTGCTGCGTTTCTTACCAGCTATTTCTCGTCCAGGTAATCTTTGCATCGATGAAAACAAAAGGCGGTTGATTTCTGCTGAGGCATGGAGTTGCCTTAAATTTTACTTCAAGGATTGCACTGAGTTTTCTGTCCGAGCTGACCCTTGTCCGTTGTGCCAGGTAAGAAATCGAGAGGCTCATTTACATTGTCCGTTATAGAATAGAGTTCGTTAATGACGCCAGTGGCTCCATGACACCGATTGGTCTAAGCAATGTCAATCAATTTCACCCTCGTTTGGTATTTGCTAACCACAATCCGCATAGGCAGAACTGCATTTTCGCCATCGACTAACTTGCCATAGATCAATGTTAATAAATAAAATTTCTAGAGTTCATTGAAAAGTTCTGAGTTTGCAACTGTGGCGATTTTCAAGCCCGTGGTTATTTAACAACACAATTCCCTTTTACTGTTATGACTGTCTTCATTGGATGGTTCAAATATCTGCTAGGAAGAGAATTTGACCTTTTTCTTCAAATATCTTGTGTAGCGGAAATGACGTCATAATTGTTCATGGATCGTCTTCCTTGCTTTGCCTCTTATATCAACAGATGAAATGGGGCCCTCATAGGTAGTAGCCCTGTGTGATGTTTTCCCTGCCCTCTTCCCCTGACCCTTTCTCCCGCCCTAACCCCTTCTCCTGTCCTACCCTTGTATCCTGTCCTGACCCTTTCTCCTGCCCCTGACCCCTGCCCCCTGTCGGTTGGCCTGCTAGCAAGTGGAATGGAATGATTTCTTGTTTATGTTTACTCTTTAGGTTTGCAGTGTAAAGAAAAAGGAACGTAAGGAGGTGGCAAGAGTTCTTGCGAATGAAATGAAAAATGCATTAATAGATCTTTATCAGAACACTTCAAGGCCAGTGCTGTCGACACAGGTAATTCATTTGATCATCTACTAGTGGACTTATATATTGTAAGAATAACTGGATGACGTCAAAGGTAATGATGTCATTAACCTGGCTTTAGGGTTGAGCCAGTTAGATACAATACAGAGCCAGTTAGATATGATACAGAGTCAGTTAGATATGATACAGAGTCAGTTTGATATGATACAGAGTCAGTTAGATATGATACAGAGTCAGTTAGATATGATACAGAGCCAGTTAGATATAATACAGAGTCAGTTAGATATGATACAGAGTCAGTTAGATATAATACAGAGTCAGTTAGATATGATACAGAGTCAGTTAGATATGATACAGAGTCAGTTAGATATGATACAGAGTCAGTTAGATATAATACAGAGCCAGTTAGATATGATACAGAGTCAGTTAGATATGATACAGAGTCAGTTAGATATGATACAGAATCAGTTAGATATGATACAGAGTCAGTAAGATATGATACAGAGTCAATTAGATATGATACAGAGTCAGTTAGGTATGATACAGAGTCAGTTAGATATGATACAGAGTCAGTTAGATATGATACATAGTCAGTTAGGTATGATACAGAGTCAGTTAGATATGATACATAGTCAGTTAGATATGATACAGAGACAGTTAGATATGATACAGAGTCAGTTAGATATGATACAGAATCAGTTAGATACAATACAGAGCCAGTTAGATATGATACAGAGTCAGTTAGATATAATACAGAGCCAGTTAGATATGATACAGAGTCAGTTAGATATGATAGTCAGTTAGATATTGATACAGAATCAGTTAGATATGATACAGAGTCAGTTAGATATGAGTACAGAGTCAGTTAGATATGATACAGAGTCAGTTAGGTATGATACAGAGTCAGTTAGGTATGATACAGAGTCAGTTAGATATGATACAGAGTCAATTAGATATGATACAGAGTCAGTTAGGTATGATACAGAGTCAGTTAGATATGATACAGAGTCAATTAGATATGATACAGAGTCAGTTAGATATAATACAGAGTCAGTTAGATATGATACAGAGTCAGTTAGATATGATACAGAGTCAGTAAGATATAACACAGAGTCAGTTAGAAATGATACATAGTCAGTTAGGTATGATACAGAGTCAGTTAGGTATGATACAGAGTCAGTTAGATATGATACAGAGTCAATTAGATATGATACAGAGTCAGTTAGGTATGATACAGAGTCAGTTAGATATGATACAGAGTCAATTAGATATGATACAGAGTCAGTTAGATATAATACAGAGTCAGTTAGATATGATACAGAGTCAGTTAGATATGATACAGAGTCAGTTAGATATGATACAGAGTCAGTTAGATATAATACAGAGTCAGTTAGATATAATACAGAGTCAGTTAGATATGATACAGAGTCAGTTAGATATAATACAGAGTCAGTTAGATATGATACAGAGTCAGTTAGATATGATACAGAGTCAGTTAGATATGATACAGAGTCAGTAAGATATAACACAGAGTCAGTTAGAAATGATACAGAGCCAGTTAGATATGATACAGAGCCAGTTAGATATTATACAGAGTCAGTTAGATATGATACAGAGCCAGTTAGATATGATACAGAGTCAGTTAGATATGATACAGAGTCAGTTAGATACAATACAGAGTCAGTTAGATATGATACAGAGCCAGTTAGATACAATACAATTTGTCTAAGATGTGACCAATTTTGCTAATGATTCACTTTGACGTGATTTTTAGAGCCAAGATCATAGAGTTTGGTAATTGAACCGATGCGCATATAGCCAAATCTTTGCCAATTAGCAATAGGTTAACAAGTACTTAAATAAATAACTTGATTTCAAACCCTCTTTCCTTAGCCTTTCTTTTCTTTCACTTGTTAGGGTACTGTTGTAAGACCCCCTGGATTCTCCCTAACATTACCACCTAAAGAAATTCGGGGGAGCTCTTACAGATTATAGCATCCTAAGTAAAAATTCTAGAAATATATTTTTTTACAGCAGCAACTTAAATTTGCTCCATTCATAACGTTTTACCTGCCAAAATCGAGTAAGTGTAGTATGAAATCTTGGAGATTCGATACGTTGATGTTTATCATACGTCTCTCTGTTCAATCTTCCATGTTTTAACTACTATCTTCAAAGACTTTTGTTAATCTTTCAGATTCCATTTGAAGTTTTTGTTGTTAGCAGAGGTGCTGTTGACGAGTGGAAACATTTTCTCAGGTAATAAACCTCACTGCAGAAAATATAAAATTGTCGTGGGAAATCCTCAACTTCTTTATAAATCTGTTTTAATCGAATTTTGGAATTGTGCGTTGAAAAATTCACAACGATGTTCTATAAAATTCATCCTATCATGATACAGAACAAATCTCACCCACTTTTTTACTAAACAATGAATTCCCAATTTCTTTGCCTTCGCCGTCTCTTTTCGCAACAAAAAGATTTCAATGCCAAGGCTTAGAAAATGTCTAGTTTCTTCAACAAAAGCAATTACCCATAAACAGTTGCCTCGTCTGCCTACGAACAAGTATCGTAAATGACACAAGAAACCGCTTTGAACCCCGCCAACTAACAAAAAACCGATGAACGCATGCCAATCACCTTTACCTTCCATCCAGTCAACAAGCAGATCAAACAAATTTTATACAATAATTTCCACCCGCTAACTGATGACCATGAAGCTTCGGACATTTTCAAACATCCAACCCTTATTGGTGATATACTTGTCCACAAAAAGATACAGAAAACAACAGACACTTTTGGAACAACGCCTTGCCACCACCCAAAATGCCGCACATGCTCACACTTCACACTTCCCATGCTCACACTTTAACCACGATTACCAAACACCACAGCTACTTCAACTTCACATGCACATCTTCCTGCCTTATTTGCTGTATCAGTTGCACCAAATGCGACCTTCACTTCATTGGGGAGATGTCCCGTCAAATAAATACCCGTTTTGGTGAGCAAATCTGCAATGTAGAGAAGAAAATACACCTTCAAGAATCAAGAAAAGAGGACCCAGATGCCACAGTCTCAATTCATTTCAGCAAAGATGGCCATACACCAGCCAACATGAAAATCATTGGACTTTGCTACGCACCTCATAACAACATTCAACGGAAAGCCCTCGAAAAACGTTTTAAACTTGGTACTCTCATTCCTAATGGTCTTAATAAACAATTTTCGTTTTTTCCTAATCTAGCTGTTATTAATTTTTGCCTTATCTCATCTATACTCTTTCCACCCCCTCACATAATCCATCTTGTCTTACGTTCTACATCGTATTCCTACTACGTTCCATATAGTTCATCTTTCAATTCTACTGTTCTATTCTCTTCTTAACTATTTCTCCTTTTTTTCTTTATTTACCTGATGAAGAGTTATGCTCGAAACGTTATTCCAAATATTCATTTCTTGTACAAAGTCGTTTTTTATTGTATCAAATTTTGTTCACCTTTTTTAGTAGCTTGTTCGAAAGTTTTACTTATCTATCGAATGTATTTTATATCTATCTTTTGAACATATAATTTTTTATCTAATTGAGCATATGATATATTGAATCTATTTGAATTTTTTCGTACATAGATTCCTTTACCTTCTCATAATATTTATTGCGTTGAAAGAGCTTTTTGCATTCCCCATTTTATGAGTGCTATTACTGTGTTTCTCTAAGCAATAAATATTGTTGACTTTTGTTTAATTTATCATAATTTTGTGGGATTTAAGTTATTTGTTAAAGCATTGTTGGTTTAGTAGAGGAGTAATTATTGCAAAATTGGTCATCGGTATTTGTTTTTGTAGTTGTTTTTGTCAAACACCGAAGCAAACTTGTTTTGATGAAGTTAAAGACCTAATCGTTGTATTTCATTCAGAATTGCTTTACTGGTATTTTTTTTATTTTTAATAGAGAAGGAACTGTTTACTTGTCACTTTGTTTAACATTTAAAAACATTTTTCGGCTTAGTTTTTCATCACCTCACGCTATTTTATGATGGTAGATTACGATTTACGGTGGTAGATTACGATTTACGATGGTAGATTACGATTTACGATGGTAGATTACAATTTACGATGGAAGGTAACAATGAACGATGGAAGGTTACAATTAACGATGCTATTTTACAATATACCAGGGTACTAGTAGTTTACGATTTTAAGATGAGTCTGAAAAAAACTTTTTTTCTTTAAATTTGTTTACAGAAGGAAACCGGTGTCTTTCCGAAATTAAACGCCTATAAAGCGCAAGGATAGTAAATGAGCGAAACTTCACGCTCAACATATAATTAAGTGATTAGTTAAGTCTCGTAGATGATTAAAGAAACATTCAACCCAGCCTTTACACTTCTAATTTCTAGATTTGCAAAAGTTCCAGCTTACAACCAAGTAGAAAATATTGATTTGTTCTGTGAACACCAGAAATTGCTGTACAGTGCAGAAGATATCATGAGCCAGTCATCAGATGAGTACGTAACTTTATATCATTCATTTTATAGAATAAGCGCAGAATAAATTTTTAATTTGCTGTTTTTAAATATTTCAAACAGAGTAACTGAACAAAAATAATTAGGATATCCAAAAAATGGAAAATATAGTTACTGTTCCCCCCCTCATTATGTATGCTAATTTATGCTACTCCTATTTTGTGTATATTGTGAAATTATGTTATGATGATTAGACAGTCTCAAGCCTCTGAACGAGTTGCATGCTATCGCTTTCGCTCTGAAACTGGTTATGACAGCTTATGAGCTTCTGATCTGTAACACCCCTTGATAACCATTGTGCGTAAAGAAACTTTTAACACCCTCTAAGCCTAGCCCCTAGTATAATCATTCACTTTTATACAATTTTCTATAATGCTACCGGACCTATCATCACTTATTCGAGAAAGTGCATTTTTTTGGCTATGAAGACTTTATTCGCGTCAATGGTTTCGTTCTAAAGTTCAGGCTATCTGCCAGATACATAACACTTAAATGTCATGTCGGCTTTTATTGCGTTAATTGTGCGATAATACGAATTTTTCTTTATCTTGTTCATACTTGCTAAACAAATAATTCTATTTCACATTCATTTTATTCTAAATTTCTAGAGAATATGTGCTTCTGTCTTCAAATGAGTGGAAAATACTCTCGACATATGCGAATTTTGATTTTGAAATTAAGCTGACTCACAGGGTGGCTGAGGCAGGTCGGATCTTGGAACTTTCTCAAGGTAACAGCTCAAAATACGATGTGCCCAATTTGTATATGAGTTTTCATTCTTTGGCAATTTATGGTTGACACTAGAGGTGACGGCAACGAAAAATTTGTTTCTTGAACAATCATAATGTTGCATAATTTATTTGAATATAGAAATCTACAGTTTAACAGCTAGTTTGAGTCCCCACACTCCACGCCTTCGCACTCCACGCCGTCGAACTCGACGCCCCCACATTCCACACCCCCAACCCTCCACGCCCCCACACTCTATGCCTTTGCACTCCATGCCCCCACACTCTATGCCTTTGCACGCCACGCCCAACACTCCATGCCCCCCACACCCCCAGAATTCAGCATCCCCACAAATGCACACTCCCACGCCTCCAAGCTCTTGTTATTTTCTAATATTGATAACACCAAGGTTGCTGTTTTTTTAGAATGCTGCGAAAAGTGCCGCTCTCAAAGAATTTCGGAAGAGCAAGAGCTTAATTTGCAGTATTTCAGTGCACCAATTTACGTGCGAAAGGTCTTCCAGCTTGATCAAATGCAAGTCATGATAGATGAAGAGAACATTCCTGATTTAAACGAACCTTTAATCAACATTGAGGAGGATGTTCCCGACAAGGTCGAGCTTCTTTTTGATGTTTGTTTATTTAAAGACTTACATATGAGCTTCATTTTAACGAACTTCTTTTCGCAAGTTTTGTCTAGACAAGCTTCATTTTAACGAACTTCTTTTTCGCAAGTTTCGTTTAGACACGCTTCATTTTAACGAGCTTCTTTTTCACAAGTTTCGTTTAAACAAGCTTTATTTTAACGAGCTTCTTTTTCACAAGTTTCGTTTCGACAAGCTTTTTCTAAAGATCTTAATTCTCATAAGCTTCATTTTCAGGAGATTCGCTTTCATGGGTTTTATTTTGATGAGCTCATTCATAACGATTTTTGTTTTAACGAGTTTTATTTTAACAATTTTTCTTTCAACGAACTTCATTTTCAGTAAATTCATTATCAACCACCATTATTACTATTGTCGACATTATTTCAGAACAACTATAGATTTGAATTTTTCAAATTTATATCTGATTTGAAAAAGAAAAGTCATACAAATTTCACTTTACTTTAGAAAACAGCCAAAAAATTTAAAAGGAGGCCATCTGAGGGAACACGAAAGAGCTCTAGGTAATATGCTTTAAATATGAATTTTATTGTTAAGTTCACAGAACCAAGTTGCGTTTCGTAAGGGGGGGGGGGGGCTTGAAAAGGTACTCCTCTCAGGGGGAGAGCTTGAAAATGTACTCCCCCAACATGATATGAAATACAAAGTTTCCTTATTTCTAAATCCCCTTACATCCCTGGTCACTCTTTTGTCCAGATTTGTGAACTTATTCGATGCTGGTCACATTTTATTAATGTACTTCATTAATACAATAAAAAGTTTCTTCAACACCTGTTTGATAGCGCAATTTACTCTGTGTTGAAGCATTTAATCTAAATCATAAGGCATCGAATTTTTCCCGATAGGTATCGACTGCAGCGAGGCGAGTACATGTTCAAAGTAGATTCTAGCCAAACACTCAAGGAGGTTAAAGTTCAGGTATGTATTGATGTTATTTGCTCGTACATTTTTTCCTGTCCCATATAAATTTTTACACTAACCAATTACTAACTAACGAACTACTATACAACACTACGAAGACGATACTAGGAGGCGCAAAATATCATGACTTCCCTCTGATTTTTTAACCTAGGCCTAAACGCAACTACTAAATGCTACTTATTTAATACAAGAAAGATTTTACAAAGTAAAAGACAAATGAAATGTTTAACTAGAAAGAAGATTTACAAGTTTTGTTTTTATTCAAAACGTTTGGATGCGTGGATATTATCTAACGTTTTTTTAAGAATTTTTGCTTTTAAATCGAGAGATAATTGTTCATGGCCGTACAGGATGACTTTCAACAACACTTCCTTTGTTCATAATTGATAAAGTATGATCTATCTATGTTTATTTAATGTTAATCATGATCTTTATCATCAAGCATGAAATAAAATCTCCTCTGATCCTAGTATTTCTATGCATCAATGTGTTATAAATATGTTTCAATTTTGTCATTTTTCAATTAATAAAAACATTTTAATCAGTTCGAACAAATCTAGTGAATTTCCTCTTTTCTTTCTACAGCTGATCCCTGTGTTCTCAGTCCTACCATGTGACCAGCACTTAAGCTTGCTCAACGGTACTCAATTAGACGACGACTCGAAGTCGCTCTGTGACCTTGGTATTCTTCCTGGATCCGTCTTGCTCCTCCGGGTACGTTCTTAAAGCCCATCTCTCCTGCACATTTGCATTTGCCCACCTTTTCGAAAAATGGAAGCTGCGCCATTTGTTCTTCAGCGTTGTATCGTCAAAAACAAGATAATCAGGGAGATTTTTCCTGGTATTGATGGCACAATCAAATTATTCGTAGATTAAATTCTTGCTATTTCTTAACTTCGTGCAGTCGTGTAGTCTTCCTATATATTTATATATTTATATACTGTGCCTATGGTGTCATTCATTTTGTTAGCTTTAGATAATCATTTTTCTTCGAATATAGGTTGATGAACCAAGTCAAGAGGTTCCAGTTCTCGAAGAAACTAACTCAAACAGTAAGATTCATTACATTTTTCCTTACCGGAAAGGAAAGTATGCCTTTCCTTACCGGAAGTATGCCGTTAGGATATGAGATTTCAGAATAATGCCTCAAATGGAATTTTAACAAGCTACAGTAAGCGTTCTTGAACGAATGGCCTCCAGTAAAGTTTTGAAAACAGAAAGAGGGTATTCCTACGGTGGAATTTGCTGAGATTTCTACCAAACTGTCCTAAATTGACTAATTTTACTAATTATCAGAACTTTGACTTATTAGAACTAATAGTAGGTATTAGACAGGTTTTATAACAGTGATCGGTGAAATTTTGAGCGGTGGAATTTAAACAACGGTGAACGGTGAAATTTTGAGCGGTGGAATTTAAACAACGGTGAACGGTGAAATTTTGAGCGGTGGAATTTTTACAACGGTGAACGGTGAAATTTTGAGCGGTGGAATTTTAACAACGGTGATCGGTGAAATTTTGAGCGGTGGATTTTTACAACGGTGAACGGTGAAATTTTGAGCGGTGAAATTTTTACAACGGTGAACGGTGAAATTTTTACAACGGTGAACGGTGAAATTTTGAGCGGTGAAATTTTTATAACGGTGAACGGTGAAATTTTAAGCAAAAGTTTCTGGCAAGTTCATTTCGTTACTAAAAAGAATCTGGTGCTTTGTGAGAAATCGGATGAGTTCTGTATGACCATGGACGACTCAATAAGAGACTAAAGAACTTTCAAAATATTACGTGAACAGTTTGCCAATGACTGAATAGTAGGCCCAAAAATGAGAAAAGTTACACAGGGTATATTAACGTAAGGCTAATACGATAAGAAAGCAGGTCCTGGAAACTTTAACTCGTTTGTTTTCGATTTCCACATGTGCTTTAAAATTCAATCTGACTAGTTTAAAATCACTACATAAAAGATGGGATCTCAATTGGGTGAGCTGAATTTTTCCATATAAACGCTGGAAGGTCGGATGAAGCTGGAAGGTATAATGAAATTTTCATAAACACGCCGTCGAATTTCGTCCCACTTGTCAGCACACAGGCTGGAAGGTGGGAAGATTTTCTCCATTTATAGCTGAAAGGCGGGATGGAATCCGCATTTAGATATTCGGTAATTTCATCCCACCTGCAAGATGATTGGCTGAAATTTGGGATAAATATTCCCGATGTAAACAGGCCCTAAGTGCCATGGTCATAAGCATTGTATTCTTTTATGCCCAAATCTGATTTTTAATTTTTTTATCAGTTTTGTTCATGTTGAAGATTAATAAGTGACGTCATTTTGTATTTTACAGATCAACGGAAACTCGAGGAGGGTTTCAAAGGTATGCAGACCCGAAATCTTAAAGCAGATTTTTTTATTTCGAAGTCGATTTTTATCAAATCCAGGCCATCACAGAGCAGTTATGAAATTCGATCATCCCTCGCTTTTATGTTTTTATTGATGCCTGGATATAAATTTTATTTGAAGCCATATTAATACCTGTTACCTAGCATTTTGACGCTCGTTTCCAGTCCACCTGCGCAGATCAGTTTACCTTGGAAACACCGGTGAGACAGAAAGAAGCAAAGTAAAAAACTAGCCACTCTACCATATTCTGCTTGTAGCCAATGGGTTAGTTTCTTCACTAACATGCACCTCCCTACTGTATAGGTCGTATACGGATGCACTTTTATTTCTATATTTGTGAAAAAAATTTTTTGACTGCCTCATCGTTAAAATTACCCCCCTCCCCCTCCGACCATTTTCATCATACAAGCCCCGTATTCTATAAACTTAATTCCTGAAAATTCTTCCCTTCCAGGGACTGGCCTATATGGAAGCTTTCAGCAAATTTAGACTGTATCCATGGCAGGCAAGAGGCCAAACATGGAACTAGTTGGACTTCAAGCTTTTGAAGGCGATCCTCGTAAAGTATTCTGGAGAAAATATGAAGTATTATTTAGTGCTATGGTATTGATCAAAACTATAACTGCAGGGCTTAATGCCTGCGATTACGGTCTTTTGGTGATCAGGAATTCGACAGAGGCTGACTATTCATCATATCTGTATAGATGTTACCTTATTATAGTTCTGTATTTCTATGAAATATATTGTCCATCCAGCAACATCTTGTCGTTTCAGAAATCATAAAAACCTTTTATATGTATATGTCTCTACATATTTATTTAACTATACGTGATTCGGTAAGTATTGCTTATAGTAGTTGCAAGTGTACTAAAAGCTCACAGAAAGTGTTGTATTGAAAACTTTCTACACAAATCCTGAAAACAGGGAGACATTCTAAACTAAACATCGAATGTTACTTCATTAATAAAGCTATGCCCATTGACTGCGTCTCTTTCGCGCAAGAGATTGAGCAAAGCTGTATTTTACATGAAGTAAATACTATGTTTTCCCGTTAACAGTTGCCAAGAACAGATATTTTGAATTGGCTTAAGTGAAAAATTTTCTGATAAACTTAGAGAGAAAATGTTGTGACTCAGTGTGAAATTAGACTGTACTCCGGCAATTTTTCCACTTAAAGGACAAGGCAGATAATTGTGTGAAGAAAATATTGGTTGCTAACATAGATGGGTGTCAGGGGGATGCCCCTTGAAGACTTTCATTAGCCGTGCCTTCTGAAACACCAGGAAAATCTGTTATTATCAAGATTGCTTTACTGTGAACACAACGCTATGAAAAAGGAATCTTACGATTCAGAAATTGGACGTGGCATGTTTTTGTTTGAGGAGTAGTTACCATCCTTTTGCCCCCTTTCTACCATTTTCAAAAAATTGTTTTTTCCCTTTCCTGTTAAAATAGGCAGAAGTCTTGTAGCCTCGGGGGAGGAAGCTGTTTTTGGGAAATTTGAATAAAACTTTGAGAGTTTTAATCAAGGACTAAAATTGGATACCTCAACTCAATCTAAAATGGAACTTCATGAGTAAGTTATAATGGAAATCAGTTGAATGGAATGTCCGGATTATTAGCAAGGAAAAATCGAGTCTGGGGTGTGTTTAATTATGTGACGTCATGTGACGTCAAAGTTGTGAGACTTGCGTCGTGTTTTGTGACTCTGTACTGCTCACAGAAAAAATCAATTCTAGCCTAACAGGCAATGTTACTATACATCAGATAGTCACTTTTAAATAACCACTGATAATCCAGCATTTGCAATTTATTGGTTCTGTCGGTGCTGCCAGCATTTAGGGGCAGTTTCTTTACTTAGCAAGCGAAGTTTATGGTTTTGTATCTACCAGGAAATCTATTTTAATTCAATTTGACGTCAAGAGATTTGACCAGCCTAGAAATATTCCAGATGGGGTTATTGATAACCAGGTGGGATTAAATTAATTCACCTTTCCATTGTTCAGATTAAAACGCACAGTGTTCAGTTGTCAAAGTGGCTCAGCATTGAATTCACTTCTTGTTGGTACATTCTTTTGTTTAATAAGAAACCAATCCCTAAGTTGACCAAAAAAATTTAAGAAACCGTCGTACTGATCACCCACAACCAGTGGCGTAATGCAGTTTAGGGCACATTAAATCGATAATTAAGAGCACCCGACCAAAAGGGCCCCCAAGCTACTTTTATGTCCATGTTTTTAAGATTTCGCTCAAGTTCACGTCTTTTTTAAACCATTTTTAAAGTTTTTCATCTGAAGCTTCTATAGCTCTGCTTATCTCTTTTGCATCTTGCTGTTGTGTTGGACATGATCTTGCAGTCCCTAGGTAGGGGATTCGTCTCAGTTTTCTCCTTAGGGCCCCAGATGCCTCCATAACGCCACTGCCCACAACCTTGATCAACTACACAAATATCCTTCTTTTAAGTGATGGAAATGATTCTTTTCGAGGATTAGGCACCCATTTTCTGTTTAATTGACATAGGTAAATAGAAAGAAGAGCTCCTTGTGACTCATCAGATACTTATCAGGTGTTCTATTCCATGTCATATCATGTGACGTTTTTGTGTTTCGAAAAAGTAGCTTTTGGTATTTACGAAACCTTGAAACAGAAAAATTAAAAACTTTGTGCTAATCCAGAGCACAGTTTCTTATAAAAAAATTGACTGTAGTTGCTAAATTTGCTAAATTGTTCGCAGTATGTTTGTATCAAGAAATATTGCTTATTCGGTATTTTTTAAGTATTTCTTCTTTGCACTTTCGGTAATACGCTTCTTTTCCTGTTTTCGTTTGTGAATCCCTTTCAGGAAATCGAAACAGCAATACTAAATAGGTCAGGCCATCTGCCTGCCAAAATTCGAAGCAACGTCATATGACGTTGATGCGGGGGTTGTTTACCTGGGACGTAAATGTTCAAAGGGAAAATTTTATATCACTTAGGGCCTGTTTACATGGAGGCAAGGCGGGTTAACTTACTGCCAGTGTTTACATGTAGCCGGGAAACTCGGGCAGGCTGGATAAAATTTCTGCAAAATAATTAAGTTATATGCGTTTGATGCCGTTCAAAGGCGGGAAAGGAAAGTTCGTATCTGGTGGCTTCAACAAACATTTTCAAGAATTTTGAGACCGATTTTAATGATAAACTTCTATTTTTGGCTGCTGTTATTTCATCTGCAAGGAATTTGTGCTCTTGTTTTGTTTTACGGGGTGATATTATGTTAAAAAGCCTTTTGCTGAAAAGAAACAGGATCATTAGAAAACTCAAGATACACAAAACGCGAGATTGTCGAGAAAAAACTCTGCACGTGGTAAGACATGTCAGGCCATTTTATCCGCTTTTACATGAGTTGGCCGGGAAACCCAGCTGAGCGAGATCCCTCCTCTGTCTGTCGGGATCTCGGCTGGCCGAGCTTCCCGGCTGTCCATGTAACCGCCATATTTCAAAAAATACTTTTTGGGTGGCTAAAGCCCCCCGGTATCTCGGTCCTTGCTTGTAGCCACTCCAGATTTCTACTTACAAATGACTTTCAACTGGCAAAAAGTTTGACAAAATTTCAGTGACCAAAGTTCCGAATTTAGTCAAAATATGCCATTGCTTTGCATTATTACATCAAAATGCCTTGGATAAAGAATACATCAACAGCCCTTGGCACTTTTATAGGGTCTGCAACTTATCGATGGATAATCTATGTAAGGCCATTTTTCTGGGAATAAATGCTTGATGAATTGTCTCATCATTTCCCACTCCGAACCCTCTCAAATACCAATAGAAAATTGCTCATTCACGGGAAAACTATATCAAAGGGCTAGCTCACACCACAATGCAAAGCTGGTTATTTGCCCGTCCACTTGAGGGAAGCTAAGCACCCTCTTCCCTCCCTAGGATGATATCTCCGAATTTCAACACCATCATGTGCATCTTGCAAGAAATGGGGAGGGGGCCTTTCCCTACGCTGAAGCCCTCCTCCCTTTGTACCGCCATTTCTGATTCTTTGCATTCTCGTAAAGCTCCCCATGGTATTCTTGCGCCTGAAATTTACGGGAATAAAATGCTTGGAATATTTCTTTCAGAAAATTATGTAGATCTATTCACTTTGCGTTGATTACGTAATTGTCACATAACTAAAGCCCGGAAACGAGGCCGGCTATTTTCTATTATCATGAAACAATGAATGGCGGATTAATGTTGTTTTGGTGAAGTTAGGCCGAAACTACGAGAATGGATTTTGGCGATTGTGGGTTAAATACTGACCTTTGCTTTAACCGTCTGAATTGAAGGGCATTGATAACGGTTCTGAGCGCATTACAAAACCAGAGGTAAGATGACAAGCTCATCTTTAGAAGCTACAAGTTTGGTTGAGCCGATATCTAAAAGGACCGGCCCACTGGTATCTGCTATGGATGAAGTTGACAAATTGCAAGGACTTTTTCGCCAAGAGACCTCATACAAAAGCTCTTCTGATGACCTATTTAGTGAGGAGGATTGTGTTGGTTCCCATTGGTTTTCAAAACAAGAGGAGCTGGTAACTTGTTTACTTAAGATGAAAGACCTAATGGAAGAGGCTGAATTAGAAAGCATGCGTCTGAAGGAGGAGAAGAAAATGTTAACAAAAAGAATTGGGGAGTCGTTGGTAACGGTCAACTCGGAGATGGACGCTCTTAAAAAGCAATTACGTGACCAAGATATGATGTTAAAAGAATTAGGAGCAACGCCAATGTCTTATTCAGGTCATGAAGCTGTAAAATCGGCAGATTATAAATCAGGATTGTCTGTTCTAGTCGCAGAGCAAACCGAACAAATCATTTCTCTTCAGAAGAAACTTTTGACCTACGAACAAGAAAACAGCGATTTACGAAAGCGCATTTATTCTGGTAAGATACGATTATATAGTCTACAATTTTTAATCTAGAGTGAACTTTAATCGTTATAGTTTTTGGCTTTGTTTTTATCATGCCGCGAATTCATTAGTAGGTTAACGAATCATACAATGAGAATTCAAAATCCTTTGAATTTTCTTCAGTAGTAGAGAATCGCGGAGATTTTATCACGTCCCAGGTAAATCAGCGTGTGAAATAATAATAGTTCGGCGAGAGTATGTTTCATTTAATTATTAACTGTTTGATTTGTTCGACTCTATCGTGCACTGTGTGAAACCGTGATTATGCAACAGAGAAAATTATTATAAATCATACTATTTTTAGGATAAAAGTTTTAAAGTTATCATCTTATTTGACTTGCATCTTTTTAATTGGATTAGTTAAGTTTGGATTCTTAAATAGAAATTTATCCTTATTAAATGGTTTCCAAGTTTTAATCCTTGTTAACATTTAAAAGGTTTTTATAGAATAGGAATGTATTTATTGATCTCTAAACTTCGCATTCAGGATATAGTGTGTAATAATGGATCAGTGTCAAGTCCAGACTTAGAGGGACACATTGTGTTTCAACAACCACATATTGGTTTAGGCTTTCTGTCACACACTGTTAAAAGATTTTCCCACTGTTTTATTTGCAAAATTGCTAAATTTGCCATTTCACAATCCTACTATATACTGAGTGTTATATGAGGCTTATTGTTAAGAAAGGGCAAAATTTCCTTAGAGAGTTTTTTTGATGTTTGTAGTTGGCTACTAGACAAATCGACAGATATCCGGTCTTAGTGAAGTTGAAAGTAAGGTAGAAAGCAAGTTATGTCATAAAAATGAGAAACAGACAGTTGAGTTTGGATGGAAAGAAGTTTGGCAATGCCTTGCATTGTCCAGGAATATGTGTTATAAGCAGCCTAAATGGCTATGACTGTGACAATGACAAGGCACTTTAAAAGATGAATTGGGAGCAGATACCCTTTCTTGTAGCATAAATCAGATTGCAAGGAATACTGTTCAAATTCTAAAGACACTGATTCAGCCACAACCAGTAACTTGTTGCTTAAATATTTTTACCAGTTTCTCTTTGATTCATTTACCATTATACCCTGAAGCAAAGGTTAGCTTTGTCATCCTAACAAATCTCATTGTAGTAGCTCTGCATATATTATCCACAGCAAATTTATTCCATGAATTTTTTCTTTCTTTAGTTATTAAGTTCAAATTCTTCAGCAACGTAGGGAAAAAATTTCATAAGCAGTAATAATTAAAATCTGCAGCAGTTAAATGAAAGCAGTCAATTTTTTGCCTAGTGCATTTTCTTCTTGCAATTTTTAACCATTATATTGTACTTATTTTTCAAGGAAAAACGTCTGATGATGTCAATTGTGACAATTGCAACCGACTCAGGGAGTATGCTGGTGGTTTGGAAATCAAGCTACAAAAGCACAAAGACATGCTGACAGGAAAAAGAAAGGAAATCAAGTCTTTGAAATCAGAGAAATTAGAGCTGTTAGATCAGATGAAACAGCTCTATGGCACACTTGAAGATAAAGAAAAAGAGCTACGGGACTTCATTATCAATTATGAACAAAGAATGAAAGATGGCGAGGAAACAATCCAAGGGCTTATTGCAGACAAGAAAAGAGTGGAATCTGAGCGCTGGAATTTTCTTCAAAGAGCTACAGAAAGTTCAGAAAGATGTATAACATTGAAAACAGAGCTTGATAATCTTCAAGATCAATTGAAAGGTAAGGATGGAGAATTAAAGGCAAAAGATAAAGAATTACAGAAGTTAAGTCAGAGCAACACCCATGAAGAATCAATGGTGGAATTTTTCGGCCTTTTTGGGAGGCAGACATCTGGAACATCAAGGGTAATTTACATTATTTTTTAATAGTTGTTCTTATATTCAGAAGTTCCCGAAGAATGTTTACAATGTAGGAACAGCAATGCTAGTCACCCAACATGAGTGGAATGTTTTCCAGAGCATACATTACACAAGAAAACCCTTTTTGCAGGCAATCAACACCTGATCTAGAAAATATTATGTTGCACTTTTTCTTGGCTGGCCCTTCAATAACAAAGGTTGCTAGTTTCACCCCCCCCCCTCCTACAACCTTCAATTGTTTTGTCTAATGCCAGGCAGTAATTTCAACTTTTCATACTTCTGGCTGGTAGCTATTAATGTTTTATGATATTTCTTCATACATTTAACAAAATTACAGGTAAATAATTTTAGAAGCCTTCTGAATAATAAGCTTCAGTTTTTTCTGCAGCTTATACCCTAAATGCTTGATATCAAAATTTTAACCTTGAAGATTATTTTTGCTATTTCAATTCATTGCCCTACTTTTGACAAAGCTTTGTGTTGGTATTTTGCAAAAGACTAGAAAATTTCCTGTTATTCTTTCCATTTGCATGACCCATTGTGTTTTGACCAAGGCATGTTTACTTTTCATTCATAAGCAAAAGCATAAAATAGATCTATGATATTTTTGAAGTTCCTGCTTTTTCACCATATTTTATTATATACGCTTTTTCAGTCAACAATGATAGCTGATTTTTAACCACACAAATCCTTCACAACAATTAATATTTTGCAGATTTAAATAACCTAGCCTCATTGAGAACTAGTTAAACACTCATTTTAAAGTAAGCATTGTATTTGGGATGCAAACAGGGCCACCAGTAAGACCTGCCTATACCAAACAAATATCCCATCCACCTTCAATAATTTATCACTTTTACTAACAGAAATCTTTAAGCTTGGAGTGTTAAGGCACATCACCAAGCAGTCAAAACTATTTATACCTGCTAGTATCATGACATAAACAGCACGATTAATAAATTAGTAAAGTAACTGAGCAAGCTTTCTGTTAATTAATATAAGAGAATTTTCCAGGATTCAACTGCAAACACCTTAGCAGCAGTTGTTAAGATAATATTATTTGGTGATAAAAATTTCAAACTTTTGATGTTGCATGAGTAGTCTTGATTGTGAAGGTGTTTTATTGAAATGGGCTGATTCACAGATCAGGCAAATGATCAACAACTTTTGTGGGTTCTGAATCAGCTGGGACTTTGATAGCACTGTGAAAAGAATTATTTAGCCACATGTCAAGCTCCATATGCATATCAAAACTTTATGTGGAGTCATTTTATTTGAGGTGTTTTACTTGAAATGTCACGTGAAATAGAGTCAGAATGAGGATCAGGAAAACCCTGATTTAAAATTTCATCATTAAGGGCTTTTGAAATTCAAGAGGCTGCCCAAGCAGTGTAAAAACATAAAAAACTGTTATGAAATGGGGATCCCAGATGTTTTGATGCAATTGTCTTAGAGGCAAACAAAAAGCCCCTTGAAAAAGGGACTCGTATCATCTTTATACAGACATTTGCAAGAAATCCAGTAGTTATTTTTGTTGAAGAAATCTGCGATGTGGTATATTATAATTATGATTTTAAATTTAAGAAAGTTGCAAGAAGTTCATGTTAAGTTACAGAAGCTTAAGATTTTTTCTGACAGATATGTTGCTGGGGTTCCAGCTTGCCTCACCTCTACTACAGCCCCGCACAGGAATCTGGTTTTGTTGGGGCGACGAACGACCAGTAATCTTCCAATTTGTGGGGCAACCCTACCTCCTGGAGTCAAAGAACACGATTAATAATGATTTCGTTCCATGCATGTGTTCTTTGTCTCCAGGACTGGGGGTTGCTTCGCTCATTAAAATACTTTCTCTTGCTCGTCTCCCAAACAATGTAACTAAAAGGGCGACTCAGTTTAAATTTTGAGTAGTAAGAAAAAAAGGGACAAGAGCGAAGAGATCGGAGTGACTAAGTGTTTAATGGCCCAGAGTGATTTTTAGCCTTCTCTCTCAAGATTTCATCATTGCTTACTTTAAGCTTGTTGTTTCAGCCATTTTTTTTCTCTTTTAGAGTTACATAACATCTGATACAGAAGAAACGACAACGAATTTATCCTCAGTTTATCAAAATCAAGAATCCATTGAGCAGAATGTGTTGTCGCATGAATCTTCCATCAGAAGGCCACAGCAGCTGACGATAGATACAAATCTAGGTAACTCAAATCTCTACCCAGATCTCTGTGGGACTAAAGCTCCCCTCACGCAATCACTTGTCCAATGTTAATTTGGTGCAGCCTGCAATTATCTGCCAACATTTTCTTAAACCTTGAGCAAAGCAAGCCGTCAATTTCCCTCTCAGTTCTTTTTTGCTTCGTTTCGTATCAGTTGGGTTTTGAATTTTATACTTATGAGCGGGCCTCAGTGGCAAAGTATGAATATTCAAGTTATCCAGGTAGTTCACTGTCCCAAAAACAAGTCTTTCAGTCTTGAAGATTCGTCTTGGGAACATATTTTTGTAATTTCTAACGCTGTTCACATACATACCTGCTTACATGTAGAAGATGAAAGACCATAAAGTCCCTTCATGTTGAATTGCCTTGTGATTTATTTCTTGTCAGTCGAGTTCTCGATTGAGTGATGTCTCCAGTTATTGGTCAGTAACATAACAGAAATGTTATTTGATGGTTCAAAATGATGGTCCACAATTTTTGCCAACAACTTATGAGCGTCCTTTCAGCCATCCTATAAACCGAATAAAACTTTTTTATGATGAGGTTCCGCAAGACTCCTATATAGGTCCTTGAAAATAGTCAGAAAAGTAAATGTTGACCGTGAAATAAGAACGTGAATTTTTGGAATATGTTAAGCCATTTTTTTCGTAAAGCATGTCTATGCTACCCTCTCACGATAGATTCCATGTTTTGCCATCTGATGATACTTGAAAAATAACAATCAATGTAAGTAAATTGTACCAGGAAAAGTTTACTTACATTGATCGTTATTATAGCATTATATTGTACCGAACGCAATCTAGTATATTGATGATACTTGAGTCAAGGAAACAAAATTGCCTTGTTATTTCGTTAATTGCAAAAGTTTTAAGCAGAAATTTTCACAGTTCTATTCAACAGTGATTAAACCTTTCTAAGGAATAATCACCTTTTTCTGTTTAAAAGAACCATAAAGTTCTTGCAAAAGACTTTCCATGTAGGTGCTTGAATAATTCCTTCCCCACTAATGTTTATGTATAACTCTCAAGTTGTCATTTGATTCTAGTTTGATCTGGTTCCATAACAAACTTACTGAATACTATCTTTGGTCGAAATGACTAACAGAACAGAAGCAAACAGTAAATGCAAAGCAGAACGGAAACAAAATCTTGTCCGCCTTGGTTGGTCCTTAGGCTTAATCAGCTTTAAAGATGATAACAAAATAATATCTTAATCAGATATAAAGATGATTAAGTAATTGATGATAACAAATGTAAGGCAACGTTTGCAATGGAAATTTAACTTGTTTATGGAAGCATACTATATAGGGTGTAGTATTGCTCATTTTTTTATTTCAGGTCAAGATGACCCCATCCTCGCTTGTTCCACACCTGTGGCGCCCTCAGGTTCTGACACGCAGTACCTATCGCTTGGGACACCTGACATGGCGCGCGAGGAAACCACCTCTTCCAAAGAACGCGTGAACAGTTCGTCGTTCTCTTATGACAATTTCGAGCTACGCGCGGACAAGCGTTCAGCCTCTTCAGAGCTACCACGGCCTGATGAAAGAAAATCACCTGTTGTCCGTCGTGCATCGTCGTTTAAACGTAAAGAAACGCCGCACCGGTCTCAGTCTCAAAGATACGAAAAGTTCAAGCGAATAGAATCACCAAAATCACACAGCAACGATGAAGGAAAACCTAAAGAACCGGTTGTCTCGAATGGTGCGGTTGTGCGGAGACAAAGCTCAACAAATAGGAGGCCTAGAACCTTTCATCCAGATCTCTTTGACAGTATTCAAAGTACTGCAGTGCCAGTGTCACCAGCAGAAGAAGTCAAACCAGAGTTCCGGACACCGCAACTGCGCGAGCCAAGATCGCCGCGCCGCAAGACACTTGGCGGAACACTTTCACGAATGTTTGGTAGAGACAAAGATAAAGGCAGGGATGAATTAGGTATAGATCTTTAAGCGTTATTACTCCAATTTGTTTTACCAAAAACTTTAACTCTTAAGCATTTGTGATTTCTCTGTGGAAGCTATGGTATTTTTTACTAATCTATAAGACATTCTAAGTTAAATCATAATACCAGTTTCTATTCTAGCAAGTTTATGAGCATAGCTGAGATTTTTGTCAAGCATTAACATGGATGTATGACATGCAGTCATAGCACATAATATTCTCAACGTTCTGACAAGTCTGATTTTCAGGAAGATATTCTAGCCCCCTCTTGCCGGTAGGCCATCTCATTCGTCAGAAAATTTCTGGCACCATAACTGTACTGTACCTTTTCCATCCATACTCTAACGTTTGTTTTTGTTTTTAGGCTCCGGGTCGAGATCCCCCGAAGAAGAATGCTACGATAAATGGCATGTATGGGACTCACTTCAGCGTACCCCTGTACCGCTGTGGAAATCACGTGATGTTGTTGTTTGGCTCGAAATTGAATGTTGTATGCCGATGTATGCAAAATCCTGTGCGAAGAACATAAAAAACGGGAAAATGTTACTGCAGTTATCGGACCAGGATTTGGCTGCTGCGCTTGGTATTACGAATGCAATGCACAAGCTAAAAGTCAGAATGGCCTTAGATGCTTATAGATACCCTGAAAGGTAATGCCCAGAGTGTTTCAGTACTCCAACTATCCATTCGTGACGTTTTCTGTACTCTGCTCTAAGCATAACCTTAAGAAGCATTAAGAGCCTTAAGCAATGGTGCAAAATTATAGGGGTTTTAGAGGTAACTGCCTCACAAATTCGATATGACTCGGAAAACCTGCCCTTGAAAACTGTAGTTTGATCTCAGAAATGGAAAAGAAAAGTCTAATGAGACAAAAAGCATTACTGCGTTTGGTTCACTACCCAAAATAATAAATTTTCACCACTTGCTTATGTACTATGCATATGTGTGTTTGTTTCGCTCATTTTTTTAACCATTAGATGGATTCATCCTGACGAAATCCTTGCGGCTTAAAACAGTGCTTCCTGATTTCCATATACGACTTTAAACAGTGCTTCTTGAGTGACGTATATATGAATAACAACACATAAGAATGTACCAACCAACTACTTTCATGTCTTAAATTAGGGATGCAAAACTTTGTGAGAGAATGCTGAACTGTGCTTCTCTATCCAATTTTTTGTTCGATGCATTTCAAGTCATGCTCTATCTTTATACATGATGTTTCTGCTTGTCATTCTTTTGGTCCTTTATCTAAATCATAATATATATAAATTATATAAGCAGTACATGCAAATCAGCCAGGTATTGGGTCTGAAATATTTTGCTAATTTTCTTGCTGATCTGAAATACACGTGTTTAAATGTGATGTAGCAGGAATATTTCTAATCCCCTTTTCGTGTCACGTGGCTTTGTTGATATTGTTTAAGGAATAAAGTGGACGAATAATAAAATGTTTATTGGGTAGCCTTTTTTAAAAGGTTGTAATATCGTGTTCTTAGCTTCATTATTAATTAAATTGAGAACACCATTTCTGAAACTTTCAGGCGAAACGTCAAGCTTTCCAAACTTGATCACATGTGGATTGCCTTCTCTTGGCTCAAGGATTGTGGCCTGTCTCAATATTCTGAGATCTTTGAGAAAAACCTGGTCGATGGCAGAATGCTAAGCACGTTCACAAAGAAGGAACTGGAAAAATTGTTTTCAATCACGAAGAAGTTTCACCAGGTAATGAAAAGATAACCAAAATGTTTTTTTGATTTGCTCTTCAGTCAACTTTTTTGTTGTGAAAAAGTTACCTTTCGGAGTTTTAAATGATTGAGGTTTTATACGTCACACCAATCTAATCAACCCTCTTAAATTTTAAAGCACCGTTATTGGTTGAAATTCACTCCAAAATTATCATTCCAAAAAACGTTTTAGTCCAGCCCGTTAACTTGAGGTACACTGTACAGATACTACGCATTTGATAGCTCATTAATCAATCTTTTGTGGTGATACAGATACTGGTTATAAGGCAAAGCATCCTGTATGTTTTCATGTTTTGATGTCATAATGACCTATTTTGCGAAATGACATGCCACTGACCAGGCTTTTAGGATAAATTTTTCTAATTATGTTCATATCTCATTCCATGATGGTCTTAGCATGGCTTCCTTCATTCCGATTTGGGATACTTATAGCCTTGGAAAAGAAAGGCCTTTTGCCTTATGTACGGAGCCCTCATCCATCTGGATTCATGAAAAAAAAATTTTGAAGTCTCGAATCAATCCTTGGAAAAGTACTATACTTATAATTGACATTGTGAGTCCCAAGCAGACAAAGGTGTGCGTTATAGAATGGCTGCATTCTTTTTGTCATCTAGTAGAAGGACCGTTTATCTGTTTCTTTCTAGAATCACAGCAATGAAACGAATTTCGATAGCAAACCCACTTGTTATGACTAGTTTAAATATTTCTATCAAGATCAAGTGTTCTGAATTGTGTACTCAATAACAGAAAAAGTGTTTGTTTTTATACAGATCTCAAATTCATATAACGAGAAATGGGAAAACCTTTCCCTTAAAAGGCCGGACCAAGTGAATTGGCATTCTGGAAGCTTCTAAGGGGGATTGTCCCCAAAATATTTGTCCATGGGGTGCTTTCATACCCAAGACTGAGATACAACTTTTTGTTTCAGGGGGGGCCTGATGAATCAGTTTAACAACAGCCATATTTTAATAAATAAAAGTATTTTACTTGTGCGACGTAAGTTTTTTTGGAGGGCCAAGGCCTCCCGTCCCCCCCCCGGCATCTCGGTCTTTGCTCATACCCTTCTTAGTTGGGGCTATGCTTTGAACAAGGTAGAATGTATTTGAACATCATCTGCTAACTAGCTAATAATTGGTACGGAATTCAACGATGACAATGCAATAAGCACCTCTCGGTTTACTTCTCGGTGAAACGACCCCCATCCAACCGGTAGCCTGTCTATTAAATAGCATCTCCACTTAGTCTGTTTTAAAAAAAACCACATAATAAGTAATTATTGCATTATAGGGTCTTCTTATAGGATCATTTAGGTGTCTCCTTTCGCCCGTATCAGTCCCAGATGTAAAAAAGAAAGACCAGTGTTTTTTAGGGTTTTGCAACTGAATTATTTCCCAAGAAGCTGTTGTTTACCAGAGGTCGCGTGATGACCACATGACAAGCTGCTACACTAATGAAACGAGGCCTGAATTGTACCACATATTTGCAGTTCGCAAGAGGTTTTGCTGCCGCTTGATGGAAAGAACATTCTAGAATCTTCCAAAGAAAAACCAACATATATTTTTGGTACCGTTAGACAGCCAGCCATAATCTTTTGAAAGAACATTATAAGTTCGAGAGCCAACTACCCATTTTTGGGCTCATGTTGTTTTTTCAAATATATATAATTTTTCATTGATTTTTTGCTTTGTTAATCTTGATTTTTTCTGTCTCTCTAGATCAGCTTCTTGTGCGGTCTTCAACTTTTAAGGAAGATGAACTTTGATAAAGAGGTATTTTACACTTTTATACCTTCACTCCAAACCAACTCTTTTTCTCTCTCCAAGCTTTCCCCTTTTTAAAAAAGTTGGTTTTTAAGATAAATTTTAGTTAACATATAATAGCAACTTTTTATCTTTATTATGTACTATATTATCTTTTGTTACTAAAAGGTTCTTGTATGTGAAAACTTGATTATAATCCTTATAATCACCTTGGAGCATGTCCACTTTTATTGAATGAAATCAACATTACTTGGAAAGGCATTGCCTCTGTGGTTCAAGTTCAGGTTCATCATATTTTGAATTCCATAAAATGTATTTCCACAAACCCTGAATAAAAATACAGCCAATTGAAAAGCAAACAATTATTATCACAATTCAATTTAATTCAATTTTACTCGTATACTACATAAGATGGGAACTATATTAAAACTGTAATATGCACAACCCAAGAAAAGTATGGAATTATCTTACAATAAGATATTGAACACAAGTTATCATCGGGATATGAATGTACGGGGAATTATTTAAAGAAGGAACTCTCTCAGTAGGCTAGCTAATCGAGAAGAGAGGTAGCCTGCACGCAGACTCGACTGGTTTTCCCAGAGATAAATTTAATTGAATTGAAAATTTAGGTTTTGTCTCCGGACAGAAACACTGAATTTTCCAATCAACTAAATTGCCAATCAACTAGATTCATCTCTGGGAAAACCAGTCGAGTCTGCGCACAGGCTAGGAGAGAGGCCCCCTTTTACTTAAAGATATTTCGCCACTTCACAGATATAAAAGTAAACAATACCGAAAATTAATCTCCGCTTTTCGTAAATGGGAAGTGGAAAAGAGTGTGAAAAATTTCGAAGATTAGTTGTCAGTGTTTTTTGCAAGCAGATATGACTTCAATTTATAACAATATATATGTATGTGCTTTTTACTCATCATTTTATGATCTCTGGCCTATTACAACGCTAAATACCGTATGCAGATACAAGGATTTATAACCTCGTTTCAAAATCATTATCGTTTTTTGTGTGCAGTCAGTGTTTCACTAATTATCCGATTCTTGCAATCGGTCCTTACATAATACGGGTGCTGACCTTGGGATCTCACTGTACAAGACCAAAAGGGTTTTTAAAAGATCATAACAGTCAACAAATCTAAATCAAATTGGCACAAAATACTACTGTAAATCAATCGTTTAAAACTTTTTCTTACATATGTAAATCAATCAAGAACCCCCAAGAGGTTGAAATTTGGAAAGGTTCTTATATATATGTAAGAAAAAGGGGTTTTTTGGTAAATTAGGTTATGGTATGTTGCATTCTAATTGGACAACCCAACAATACAAATTCATTTGATTGGTTGAGATTCAACATAAAAAAGCTGGTTTAAGTGTGTCCATTAGAATTCTTGCGGTGGAAAACATTGTTAATGTGTGCAAGGCCTGTACGTATAGAAGAGCCTTGTTAAGAACCTTTTAGACTGGAATTTAGAATAGCAGCCTGTTAATTAAGAACCTATTCAGGCTGCCAGACAAAAACCTAGGTTCTTTTATGCGGGTTTCTACTATATGAGTCCCTTTTTTGTCTTTTATTTAATATAAGATCTTCAGTTTATTTAATTCATGTAATAATGTTTTACAGCAGGGCACATAGTACGTCAGTTTATTCAAAGCTACTAAATGTATTTAACCTTGTTGAGTTGAATGTAAACGCATAAGATATCTTCCCCTATTTTAAAACGTGATACAGTGCTCGCCAGTCTATTGTCTTCTGTATATTTAAGAATTATTTATTTTAATTTATGGTTCATTCTTTTCTAAGGCCATGAATCTACGAAGAACAAACTGCGCCGATGCAAATATTGACATATTAGTATGGACCAATGAGAGGCTGGTCAAATGGGCATGCTCAGTGGATTTAAAGGTATCCTTTTAATTTAACAAGTGTTTCCTGTGGATTCTTGCAATTTTATGTATAACATAATGTTAGGCAAAATTCCTTTGTCCCATTTGAATTTTTGTTTTGAAGCAACCAACTCTCCCTTCGTAGGAGTACGCTGAGAACCTTCGCAACACCGGTGTGCATGGAGCATTGATTTCGTACGAAGAAACATTTACAGTAGACACTATGGCAAGCGCACTTGGGATTCAAATAGGAAAGAGCGCGATTTACCGACATTTTGTAACAGAATTTACTCCAATTCTAAAAGCAGCAAGGTGGGTAAACGTCAGGTCCCTGCAGATAATGTAAACCCTATTAAACATAAAAAACCCATAAAATAAAACAAATTTTGTGATTGTAGGGATTGTATTTGCTCATAGCTCTTGTAAATAGCCCCCAAGTCTCAAAAGAGGCGAACAGTGACCGGAGGCTTCAACCAGCCTCTCATTGGTCCTACTAATTTTGTCATTATTTTCATCGGCGCAGTTTTTACTTCGGAGTTATCCATAAATTATAGATAATACATAATGTTTAATAAACAGAAAATTGTACACTGGCAAGCACTGTTTCTCATTAAAAGACGAAGAGGCATTATACTACACTTTTAACTTATTTCAATAGCGTTAAATATATTCAGTAGATTAGAATAGACTGATTTTCAAAGTATATCTTGCCCAATTACTAAAATTTGACTCCTTTGTCGAAATTTTGTACAATCCTTTTTTAAGCCCCCTCCCCCTTCTCCAAGTAAATTTTTTATTTCGCCGCACCCCTGTTTCGATCCCTGTTACAAAATATGTCTTTTGGTTTATTTCTGTATAATATAGAATTTGATGTTGATGATCTATATACAGGGCCAAAGTGAAGGCAGACGATAAGCTGAAAAATGGAAAGCATAAAAGCTCTGGATTAAGTCGGTCGTTTAGTTTGCGTTGGTCGCGTCGAGAACGATCGAAAAGGCTCACGGTCAGTTACAGGCTCTTTTTCAACTTCTAGAACAGCCCTTACATTATTAAATTAGTCATTTCACAAGATCATAGCACTCTCTTCATTTATATCATGGTAACCAACTATGTTGTTTATGGTTAAACCTAATAGTCGGAAAAGGATCCGAACTTTTGTTGAAAATAGGATACTAATAATCATGCATGTTTGTAATGTTTAGTGCTATCATGTGTTGACCGATTGTTTGTCTTCTTTTCAGTATAAAAGTGTAGGTTTCGAGAAGGTTAGGATTAAAGTTGGAATAAAGAAATAACACAAATGTCTATGCTTGCGAATCCTAATTACTACTAAATTTAGTCTGAAAATTTCAAACTTTTTATTGATTTGCACAAATTCTTTGATTGATAAAGTTTTGCAGAATTTTGTTTTTTATCTATTGTCTTGAAGATTTAGATTTCGTCTTAACTGCTAGTTGGCATTTTACTTACGTTACCATATTTCATGCTCTTTATTAGTCTTCGAGATCAACTGGTAACATAAATGGCAACTCGGAACCTCCAAAAGATGCAAACGATAGCCAGGATGGTAATGTTGAGCGCAAGGGAAGCAGGCAAGCCACATTGCTGTGATTCTTGTAAATATCTTTCGTGTCATGTCTCTTTCTAAGCTTGCATACGTATTCAAACGGGATTATACGTACTTACCCACAAGGGGGAGGGGGGCTTTAGAGCATAGGTGTGCTGCACAGGAATGAAGATATTGCTGTTTGGAGGCATGTTCATTGGAAACGAACTTCAAAGATGGGAGACATTGCCCCAAGTCCCACCGCATTTGCCAATCTCTATGACTGGATTCAAACTCTCTCAAACAAAAGAGGTTCAGCAAAGACAATACCATATACCCCCGACCGACTCAGCCCTACAATATCTATGTTATTTAATGCACTAATAACTAGTTAGTATTCTTGTATTTTCGAATGCACAGATAAGCTTTATAGATATAAACACGGAACAGGGGTTTTACTCTAAGATAACCGTAAATTTTACCGTTTTATGGTAACTAAAAGAGACTACATGTAGATTATATGGGAACGAAAGCATTCCAGTCAAGTATCCCTTCAGTTTATTGATTTCCATTTGATAAAATAAATTTGTCAACTGCTTGTTTCTGAATTTCTGTTACTCGCAGCGGTGGTTTTAGGGACTTCAGGGCCTTGAGCCGAAATCATCTGTAATGCTCTCGCTCTCTACAAATTTAATTCTTTCTTTGGGTGCAAGCCTCTTCTGGCCTTCAAACGCACTGGACCTGGGGCCGTGCTCCTTAGTCCTACCTAAAACCGCCACTGTGTAGGTAGTTCATCGCCCCAAATTTATCTTTCGTTCCAAGTTCGAATAAGCTCTTTTCGTATGGTCATTAGGTTGTAACATTTGGCTGTTTGTGAAACAAGATACTGTACAGAACTTTGAAACTTTCATCAAGCTTATAACTGAATGGTGGTATGGCGATTCGAAGGGTACATTGCCCCCTTTCCCTTGTGCAGGCTCTCTCTTTTTGCAGCTGTTTATGTGCGGTCGTTATCTATCGCCTTCGAGTAGAAAAAGGTCATAAGCGAATAAGTCAAGACATTCCATTCCCCCTTAAGCACACACCTACCCACTGTAGTCAATAAACGGATATCACTGCATATTATTTTGTACTATAGGCAGAGGCAAGGGTTATCAATTTTCTTTTTTGGTTCCCTTTTAAACCAATTGTCTGCTCTATATTGACACGTTTCCTGGTGCTTTTGAGACTAGTTTTAATTTTATGGGAGAAGAGTTAGGCATATGTTGTTTCCCGTTAGATTCTATCATATTAAAGTAATGGAAAAGGGGGAAATTTTGGAGCTTTCTGCTTCTGACGGCTGTATTTTTTCAATGGCAGCACAAGCTCCTATGCAGTAAGGGGAATAAATGGGGGAAAGTTTTTCACCACACCCTTTTTCAAAGCCAGGGAAAGTAGCATTTTAACATTGTGTTATTTTCTCTAGATATATGTGAAAGGAAATTAACCTACCATTTTCTAGTTCCCTTTTACCAAGTTTAAGAATAATTTTGGATACTAATTTGGCCTATCCCCCTTCAACCATACCCCCTTCTTTGACTCCAATATGAGAATTGACCCTAGCTGAAACAATTATGATCCATCCAGAAGAGTTTCTATTGGATATTAATGCAGAATTGACAATAAACTGCTAGCCCAATAGCCAGTTTTTATCAAAAAGGACCGAACTTTTATATTGATGACTTTGTTTGAAAATTTAACTGTATCTTGTTGTGGAGATTTAACCTTAATACTACCATAGAGACCTGGATAAGCATGTCAAGTTTTGATATAGTTGAAAATAACTGAATTCAACTGAACCCTATTAATAGTAACATTTCCATGCAGTGGCGTACCCAGGGCTGTAGCAGTGGGGCGGGGTCTAGGGCGCAGCCCCCAGAAATTTTTTGGACCACGCCCTTCAAACACTCGCAAATGCGGGGGAACGCCCTTTTTGCAAAAATTTTCCCCATTATTTGATCCATTTCAGCTATGGTAAATAGCAAAGTATTTTACAATTGTTATTGACACAAGCATACAGTATACTCCCCCCCCCTCCCCAATGAGTTTTACATCGTTTTTGGACAAATATCGAGGACCATATTTGAGGAAAGTGGGGGGTCCGGACCCCCTTTTCTCCCCCCTTGGGTACGCCACTGTTTCCATGTCCTACACATTTGCATAAATGGGTAATATATTATTTACATATGTAGCTATTCATACAACTTTTTAAAGAGTTTAGAGGAAACTGTTAGCTATTATTTATTAGGATAATTTTAGCAATAGAATATTTGTAATTTATGTTTTTGATGGTTTAGCATTGAACATAACTCTGGTTGCCACTTGAAATATCTCTTGTGCCCTTGTCTTCAATGGAAATTTTTTGGAAATAATTTGCAAAATCTTTTGGAAATGGTTTTGTTGTTGGAAAAGAAAAAAAGAAAAAGAAAGAAAAAAAGTTGGAAAAAACTAATTATTCTTGATAGTTATTATAGTGATTGGTGAAGTTAAAGAAGGCGATGACCTCAGGGTCATAATGACAATTACGATCAAAACATCATACTTTGAGAGCCTCTTGTCTTTTTGCGTAAGTCTTACATAATTTCATTGCTTTTCAAGTCATACAGTGTAAGCTGAAAGTCTTATGTTTTTTATCCACTTACAAAGTTTTTTTAATTCATTTTTTTTAAATAACATGAAACATTCAAATTCACACGCGTTATTCTTCTTATTTTGACAAAATATTGAAATTTGAAAGTGAAAAACGCTTGTCATTATAATTTTGCAAAGCAGAAGTTTTGCCATTGTTTAATTTATGTAAACTGTACTTTTCTTATAAGTAGTGTCCATGCTACTCCATCTGTTCTGGTACAAATAAATAACCAATAACAAAAAGTTTGGTTATCTTATGGTCAAAGTTTCATTTAATACAGGAACTAAAGGTTTTATATGCAAAGACAAAACAGTATCTTGACAGGTATGAAACATGCCTGACAATTGTGGTAAGAATCTGACAGCCAAGAAAGGGAAATACAACTTCATCAATTGGTGACATATGTTTTTCAATTGCCACTCCACAAAAGTATTTACAGCAAAGTTCATTTAGCATAAGGAATAAAATTTACAGCAGAGCATTGTTGTGAAGGTTCTTGACATTTAATGTTTTTTATGAAGTTCTCATTTTAACTACTTATCAATGTTGCAAATATATAGCTATATTTACTGGCAAAGATAAAACAAGGACATGTGTTTTTGTGCATGTGTTTAGTTTCAAACTTTCTCAGTTTGGACCTACTTCAAAGCAACAGATTTAAAAGCATTTGTGGTACCAGATATTATCTGTTAAAATGCTCATCACTCTAAAATGGGGGCAAGGGTAAAAGACTTCATCATTTTAGCTTGATAAAAAACATCCAAAAGTGCTACCAAGAAAAGCAGGTTTCCTCCAAATGGTAGGATTGTATGTATTAACTTACTCATCAGAGCATCTTTTTGAACTGTTTACATCACAAGTACACTCTAGTTTCTCCAAACATACTCCAACTGGAAACACTTTTTGTAGCTACCAAATAAAAATTTATTTACAAAATTCTATTAATCACAAAGTCAAAATTAATGGATCATTTACAATCTTGGAATAAAATTTCCTCAAAACTTTAAATACCTAAAACAAATTTAAATAACAATTGAATATTTATAACTCTTACCCATACCCTTAAAACTGCAGATATTTTGAAAACATTGTTAAAATAATCACCAATAACAGAAAGCTCTAAACATGAGCTCTTTGTTAAAAGTGTTAATCATCCAGGATGTCAAATTTTAGTACCACGTTTTTAAGCAGTGTTCACCCCCTCATAATTTTCAAACTTCATTGAAGCCCCATGGCAACAGTTGATCAAGCCTCTGATTTTTGTGAGCAATAGAAAGGCAAATTAAGCTCTCTTAAAAAATAACCCCTTTATGGTGGATGTACTACCTCTTTATGGTGGTAGCATGAAAGAGACTGTCAAACTACAAAAAATCAAATTCTAGGAAGAAATTTCATAATTTGATTTTGAATTATTTGCCCCCTTTTAATTGCATTCAATAAACATTCCCTCTTGAGTATCGTTGGATTTTTCATCCAACTCTTAAATAATAGCTTTACAGTTGACACCACTGGCTTGGCTCACTATTTGCACAAAAAATTTATAAGTAGATTTCCTTTGGTTTGGTGGGAAGCCCAAAATTATATGTCAGGGGAGTAACCATGCCTGTGTTTAACACACTACCCAGTAAAAGCTCAGAGATGCATTGCAAGCTCATCAAGCATAACAGTGTAGTTTTGCTCCAGCTGTATTGCGGGCAATTCTACTGTTTGCCCACGAGTTTTTAACTTAATGATTGCAAATTTTTCATTCTTGTTTGCTGATGACGCAGTCAGTGACAGTTGCGGAAATAACTTTTCTGATAATGCATCAACCATATATGGATCCTCTTCTCTCTTTGGTGGGTGTTTGTATGTTTCTTTGTCTTTCAGTTGTTTTTTGGGCCTATTTTAACAAATCAAAAATATGTAGGTAACAAGCTGCTTTAACTCTCTTGAAAAAATGTCATGGAGAATGAAAGCATTATTTTGTGTGGTTTGACAAAATATTAAGCAATGGCGTATATGCTGCATATATTTTTCATATCACAAAATATACTTTAAGCTTTTCAGCAAATATTTTACTTATATATCAAATAAACTGTTGTTATCATTAAAAAGGCAATACAATTAATACTAATGTTGTTATTATCATATTCCCAAAATACACAACGACTAAAAAGAAAGCTGGCCCCCTGTTTTCAAACCTGGTTTGGATGACTTTTAAAATTTTGATATTAAAACAGATATCTGTAAACATACCTTCCTCTCCGTACAAGTCGCTTTTCATCAACTTTATTCTCAAACTGATCAAACAAACTGAATAAGAGATCCACATTTGGAGCTGATGTTAAATATCGCGTAGGCCTCTTGGATTCCTTTTTGCTTCTACTTTCTCCTGGTGGAGTAACTGGTCTTATCTCAGTCATGTCTGTATTATTATTTTCTGTTGTGAAAAGTGGTGGCAAGACTGGGTAGACATTGCCTGCAAGTGAACTTGTTTGCATTGTAGCAGGCTCTTTCCAAAAAGACTGTGGTAGTGCTCTTTTTCGCATAGGTAAAGGCTCTGAAACAAGAAAGTTCAGACTAATATGTTGGAAAGAGTAAAAAAGTTACTTTCACAAAGAATAATAGAGTTCTGAAATGAGCTTTCAGAGGAAACCATTAAATTATTTTTAGATAAACGATTCTGAAAGCTTTACAACATCAGTTCAATTTTGCAATCTCATATTGCAATAACATGAATATTTAATGGATAAGCATACCCCTCCTCTGATAATGGTTTCCATTTTTGGGTAAGACATGCTTTTGTAAAGTGAGGGTTTAGAGTCCCATTCCCTCCTTGTAACATTCAAAAAACTTTCAGTACCCTTCTCCCTGATACAATAGAATGTTAACAAAGACGTTGTAATGTGCTCAGCTAATGTCTAGATAAACATATTTTTCCTTATAAGCAACTTCTTATTTTAGAAACATCCCTCCAGCATAAAATACCTTTTAGCTAGCTTTTAAACACTATGAAAACAATTTCTATTTAAAGTGACTTTAAATCATGGAAACAAGTTTTAGTTAGGAAAATTGTTTCAAAATATGATTAATGTATATTTGCAAAATATTCTAAGAATGAATGTGATACCGTGTATACCAAAGTGGATATGATAGGTACCTATCCACATTACGTCATTATCTATAAATAAAAATGAACCGTTAAATAAAATATACCTCTTCTCGTCTTTGGGGGGTTTCTCAAACCACAATTTCCATTATCATTGTCCTTTCTCTGCCCTTCAGAATGCCTTGACTTCAATCCATTTAAAATTTTCTTTTTCCTCCAGAGCCTTGCTGCTTCACCATCCGCCCCTTGCTTAGGTTTGGTACATTTTGGTCGTGAAGGAATGATCGTTCCTTCGACGTGCTTTTCATTCAGTTGATCATGATCTTCTTTCTTATTCCTTTTTTCAATGACAGCATCTTTACAACTGAAATCAGTATCTAAACTTTCTTGATCATTTTCCATAGCCTAAGATTCGAGAAGGCTCCATGAAGAAGTCCACACGTGTAAATCCAAAACAGGCCTAAACTAGAGAGAATTCTGTATAATGCGCAAAACTTCCTTGAAACACTAAAGAGTCTTACGATCTTTTCCCAAGTCTTTCAAATTTTCCAAATCGAAAAACAAATGCCGAAGTTAACAACATCGCACAAAGTATTCTGTACAAGCGAATATTTTTTCTGAACTTCCACGTTGATAACGATGTTTTGGCGGTACTGTATCCATGGCGCGGGAAAATAGTTGTTAAAATCAGCATCTCTGATTGGTTGGATATGACGTAATCGTACAGTTCAATAAATGTTTGACGCTCCCTGATTACTCATCACCTTCGTTCTATTTTTGAAAGTAACAAATTTCTAAGAAAATGAATGTCTATTTCTGTTAGGAAGGAAGGAAATATTTCCAAGTCGAAGGGACACAGTGTTGAAGGGGAGCTATATTGCATATAAAGGGATAGTAATTAGTATTTCAAATTGAATACTTCGAAGAAAATGACATTTTTCGGAATATTACGTTTTGTTCTGTTAAATTATGTGTAAAAATATTTCAACAACTTCTATAAAATTTCGAAATTGTTAACTTGTCAGTTTTATCTTAATGGCTATTATAATTTATATTTCACACAATATAGGGCACTGGGAGGCGACACCTCTATCTAATTAAAAATTAGATTAAAAATATGATATTTTGTATAAAGTAAATTATAAACTTGTTTGCTATATCTTAACGTAATCCTATATTTGCATGCAATTTTTGTTTTCAAATCCAAATGAATTTGAATTTTGAAATTGAATATTGGCAGGCATATTTCCCTTTATGCGCCCCCTGTCCCGACGCCCTCCCTCCTGTCCGTTGTAACCACGGGCCCTCCCTGGTCATCCAGCAAAGATCTCACCTTGAAGACGAGGTAACATGTGTTAAAAGAACTTAGGCCGACGTTGTTTCGAACTATTCAGCTTTGGACAAGGTGTCACTACTGAATTACAGAAATGGGAAGGAAATCATGGGCAGATTTGAAGAAAAAAGGTCCTGGAAGGAAAGCAAAGAAGCAGCCACCACCAGAAGAGAACTTACCCCCTGAACTGCGTAAGATGAGATACTTTCGCCTGCTACTCTGGCATTATCTATAAAACCGTAGTTTGTAATTCATATTTATAATGCTTTGTCCTTGTTTAGAATTTAGCATCAAGTTATTTGCTCGACAGCTTTTCTGTGGTTTTAGTAGAGCGTCGAAAGTTTAGATGTCTTGTATTTTCTACTCCAGAGCCAGACGTTAACTCCGTAAATTATGTTTGTATTGATTTATTGTATAACCTGACAACATTTTAGAGCTATTTGCCGCATCATCAGGAAGGCCGTAGTGTACACTTACGTTCCAAAAATATTGCACGGAGTTGAAAACAACACGACCTTCGAAATTCAAACCACTTTTGTGAAGCCATTAGACATCAGTTTAAAATTCAAAGCCAATCAGATATAACTTACAAACATTGACAATATTTTAAGTTTAAATTTTGAAAAAAATATGTTTTAAGAATATCAAAAATGTAAATTTTTTATTGGCCAGTCTCAAAGATTTGAAACCCTTGTACGACCTTCAAAATTTAATCAAAAACTTTTGATTTTTATTTGCGTCATGAAAATGGCCTTTAATTTTGCAGAATGATGCACTTTTACGGCCGTTTCTTACTGAGGACTTTTTTGATGCCATTGAGGCACTTGCATGTCTCTGCTTGGGACTGATTATGGCATAAATTTTGGTATTTTCAACGTATTTTGGTTTTTATAGCATAAAGGTTGCTCTGAGCAATTTACAGCATTATTCTTTCCTAAAAAACATCGGAGTGGACTGGAAAACATGAAAGTAAAGACTAGTAAAATGTTTTATGAATTGAATTCTTTGTAAGATGCTACAAATGGTCTTCAAAATTAGGCTGGTTGCAAAAATGTGTGACCAAGACTTTTTACAAAAATTCTTTAACATCAGTCTGGAAAGTTAGAGAATTTGGGCACCCAAGCAGAAAGTGAATATCTCTGAGTTTGCCTTGATGAAGTCTTACAAATTTATGCTAAGAAAATGTTTTTAATTGCAACTATTTTAAAGGTACTCCTAGCATCATAGCTCTGCTTTTTGTGTTCGTGCAGTGGTTGGCATTGCTTAGAAATAAGAAAATATCTTTTTTTCATTTTCATTTCTATTCCTTGATATACTTTCCATCATTTTCTACCGAAACAGTAATCTTAAAACATTCTTTTGACTTGATATATCTATTTGAACTTCTGTTAAACTAAGCCTTGGCTAATCAGAAATAAGCTTAGTTAGAAGCTTATTTAGAGAAATAAGCTGGTTAGAAATACACCACACAATTTTTTATATGAAGGGAGGTTTTGGTTAAATCTTCATCCTGTTTTAGTTTCTAGGGATTTCAGGATAAGGGCTACTTGTATAATTTTTAACTCCAATATTGTTTTCTTATTTTTAGTGTATTATTAATGAACTGTTGGGCTGTAAAATCAAAATATATATACACATATAAGCCAGACTGCAAATTTTGGGCATGTGGGTGAATGATTCGGTCTTTTTTAAAAATTAAAAATCTGCAGCTTTCAATCTGTTATATATTTAAAACATCATGTTTTGCTTCTGCCAAACATCAAAAGCAGACAACAATCCCACTTGCATGATAAATACTTTGCAGTCTGGCATATAAGTACACCTACTCAGCAAAATCTATAAATAGCTGACCATTAAAAACTATTGAAAAGAGCTTTTAATAATTTAGAAATAGAGCAAACATTGGTTCTAATCAAACTTAAATTATAACTATGGTTTCCACAAGATATAGACTGTTGCTCAGGCCTTTTTGAGAAGAAATTTTCACAAGGGTGACAAACTGCCCACCTGGTTCAGCTTATGAGGGTCATGACCCATCCAACAATATTTGTTAAAAGGAAGTCCTTCAGGACCTGAGGGGAAATTAGGGTATTATCTCTGAACGATTGCCTAACAATTGATTATCTCAATGCGTGATTACCCCCAGTTTATAACTAAAACATTTGATTAATATTTATGATGTCAACAATGAGAAAATGATGCTTAATTTTCATTAGCAAATTGACCTTTCATATAGGAATACCATGACTGTTAGGAATGGACAAAGAGAAAACATGTTTGACTAGCTAAGTAAAAACATAAAGATAAGACTTGAAATCAATCAAAGTTCACTTTTTTAAAGTTCTTCTTTAGAGTATGAATCGTAATCTGATTCCGACTTGCTTGAAAAGTTCTCTCCTTCATCCTCTCCAATGGCATCATCTATGTTTTCATATTTTTTTGGAGCTTCAACAAAAAGCCTTTTACTTTGAGGCTCCTCTACAACAGTCTTTCATTTTTTCTCAGGGCCGTTCTTTCACGATTGAATGACTAACATTTGATAGCACTCACATTCTAAAAAACTAAAAAATTGGAAATCCGCCGCTTTCCTTTACATGCCAAATTTTCAAAAAAGTGTTAATTGCAATTCAGGAGATTGAATAATAAAGACACAAAAATGGTGACATGCTCTTCCTTTCTCTTGCAGACGACACATGTTTTTGCAAGGGCAGTTAACTGTATGAATCAATAATTGAGCGAGGGCGAGGGTGATCGCCCACATAAAACAATAAGGCCTGTTGTTGCTCTAATATAAAAACATGTTTTGTCTTAGTACTTTTGCAGTAAGTTGGAATCTACCATTCCTGATATTTTGGTTTTAGTTGCATCCATTTCAGAAGATGGACCAAAGAAGAAGAAAATTAAAAGGTTTGCTTGAACTCTCATCTGTTTTACAAGATGATTCAAAATAAATTAACATATTTTTCTTGAAATATTTGGAAGTTGAAAAATTTTTTTGATCTAATAGCATTTTCCAAAATTTCATCAGTAAAATTTTTCTACCTCAATGTATGAAAGGATGTGTGAAAAATTGTTTGTATGCTAGCGTTAGACTTTTTTGGGAAGAAGTTAGAATATCATGCTTAATTAGCATAATTAACAATGTCACGGGGTAATCTTATGTATAATGTTAGATCGTTAATAAGACTATTTTTTAATATTTCATATCATGAAAAATTAGGCATAATATTTCTGTATTTTGTCAAATTTTAAATCATTTGATAAAGAAGTTTATAGTGTACATGAGGCCCTTTCCTTGTCATGATTTTATGATTTTTTGCGATTCTTAGGTTGCAGAAGGAAGAGAAGAAGAAGAATTTAGGACCAGAAAAAGATATGAAAGGAAAGAAAGAAAATATTTTACACAATAATTCAGGTAACTCTTTTTATAATTTTCAAGTTTTGTTTTATAATGAATGGAAAGATTCTTTTTTCAATGAATTTTGAAAAGTTTTTCTTAAAAATAATTGAGTATGTCTTCCAAATTTCAGGAAATGTAGTTTCATTTGAGGATGCAAAAACTGGAAAGGTAGTTGCTTGTTTTTCTTTGTATTGTATCTTTAGATATTTAAGACAGATTGATGAAGTTCTATTTAAAATTGAAACACCTATTTAAATCAGAATATGAAATTCTGTAAAATATAATGAAAGTCATGGTTTTATTTAAATGAACATCAACTCAAAGCTGTAAGGCCAAAAATTCAAAATATTTGAATATTTCACATATATATTATTTTAACATATTCCATAGTGAATTAATCTTGAGATCTGTTCTTTATGATTTAGAAGACAAAGCCAAAGAAAAAGATAAAGAAGTCCAAACGGTTTGTTCATGCTTATAGCTAATTTTAAGGCCTTAATTCATTATTTTATTGCCTGAGTGTCATTCTAACTAAAGAGGTTTGCTGATAATATTTGTAATAGATATGATCACTCTTCTCTATTTCAATCTCTTCTTTCTTTTACCAGTTTGTTTGCTTTAGAAACAGGTAGCTTTACAATCCCCAGGTTTGCTTATTCACAGCAAAGTTTCACCAGATTCAAAGCGCTTTCATTTTACCACTTAATTCCTTCCTCTTTTCTTTTTCATGTCTATTCTCTGCTGTACTGCATTCACACCATACCAACATTTCCGTTCTTAAAATTTTTTTTACCAGTCCTTTATTTCTACTGTGATGCTGCCCCATAGCGTAAAATAATTGTTTTAACTTGTTCTTTACTTTTGTATTTTTGGGTTTTAAGATTAGATTTACTTTACATTGGATTGCTCTTTGTCATTTTCCATTGTTCCAGTCAGTTTTTATGAATTGTTATTAACTGTAGATTGATAATACTTGTGCTTCAGTTGGTGCAAGAAACATCAAACAAATAGACAAATGAAACTTTGTTTATCTTCTTATTGTTAGTGAAGAGAAAAAGATGGAGTTGTTCGATTCTGAAAATGAAGATGGAATAGGTAGATTTTTCAATACCACTATTTTGCCTTGTTTTGGATGATATTTTACTAGACAGATTATTTCAAATTTTGTTAAATTTTTTACTCTTTTTGTGTTTTATTCTATAGTCTTTAATTTCCCTGTGAAGCCTGGTATTTATACAGAGAAGTTAGTTTGCTTGACTGCATTAGAAAACATTGAAATGAGGGGGGGGGGGGGTTGGATCCCCTTCAATTTCCTGTCTATATGAATTGCTGCTAAAAAAACTTAAAATTATTTTTTAATGAATGAATGTCAATTAAACCTTAAACATATTGCCTAGAGTTATTTGTAATGTAATAAAAAGTATATTCCTGATGTAACACTCCTGATAATTATTTGTTTCTTATTGTATAAAGTTCAAGATCCTTGCATTTTTCAAACTAGCTTTGATTTCCAATTACTACCCATCCTCTACATATTTTGTTTTGAAGTATAGGCAAATTTTCTGCACATAAGTTTAAATGTTCATAGAAATGTTTAATATAATGATACCCAAATGCGAATTGTTTTTTTTAAGTTGAGGAAGCCATCTCTGAGAAGAAACAGGAGAAAAAGTCAAAGAAAAAAGCAAAGTATGTATTTTGAAGCAAAAATCTGTTAGGCAGCATTTTAAAAATGTTTTGTGTTGGAGAGAGAGCTCAGAACATATTCAGGAAATGTTGAAAGTAGTTTTGTCCAAGTTTCAATGCTTCTGTTTGAACTGGTTGTTATTTCAAAGAAAACAAATCATTAAGACTGTATAATGCTCTGTAGATTTTCTCTGAAAAAAGTTCTGGAGATAGAAAGTGCCAAGTCCTTTCTCCCATTAGTTGATAAATCGCTACGGCACATGGCTTCAAGGTTGTGGAACTTAGTTGGGAGTTGAGATTTATTTGCAGTCGTATACACACATGAGTTGATTATGAATTAGAATATATATCTCACAAATTGTATTATTCATTAATCATAAGGCAAAAGATTAAAATGAGTTAGTAAGGCGTTTCGGTGCAAATAAAAACATTTCACTGAACCACATTAGTCAAGCATTTATGGGACCAAGATTGAAGTGATGTTGTAAAGGTCCATAGTGTATAAAGTTTCTATTGATCTGAGATCGTTTGTGTTAAGTTATTTATTTAATTCAAATCACCAACAGACCATTCAGTGATGAAAATTCGTCTTGGCTCAAACTGGCTGATGAAAACAAATCGAAAGAAAAAGTTGACGACATAGATGATGATGATTCTGAGGTTGATGATTATGATGACGATATGGTACGTCTTTTTTCACAGTCACTTGTTTGTATGATGTTTTTTCAAGATCTTAGGTAAAGGATTTTGTCATTTGGGGTGAATTTTTGAGTCATTGGGTGGGGGTGGGTTACCTCTGCAACTTTAGACTCAATGGAATCATTCGATTGTCAGTTCGATCAAATTGTCAACCCAGTGGATGCGCCTTATACATGGGTACTACCAAATATTTTCATTCTGACCTCTTATCAATTTCATTCTGCAGCCTGCTGATGAGTTCAGTGATCAAGATGAGGCTGAGTCTGAAGATGAGACAGGATCTGAAGATGAGGATGTCGCAGAAGATGATGATGTATGTATATTAGCTATTCAGTTAAACTATTCGCGTTTGTATAGGCTTAAGATATGTTGATCTGGTGAAACCATTCCGATGCTTCGCTGATACTCACTTTAGCCAATCAGAAGTCAGTGCCGTGCACACAGTGGCTTCTTGTTGATTACATTGTCGAAATCTAACAATTTGATTGGTTAAATAGAGTTTCTTTTGGTTATTCTTGTGCGTATGTCTGCATATAAGGCAATCTGTGTGTTAGCATTTTGTTCCTGCTGTTGCCCAATATCTAAAACCTTACTTTAAGGTATAATTTTCAAATCAATATAAAAAGAAAAAATTGTGAATATTTATTTATTCATAATTAATACCTGAATATTTTTTGGGTTTCTACGAGCTTGCTCCGAATTTATTTTCAAGTGTTGAAGATCACGAAATTCTTTGCATTGCGGTAAAGATTTTAGAAATATTTATAGCATTTTTTTCTGGTGGTTTACTGATTTTAATGGAAAGTATCATTGTTGAAAGTGGTAATAAGAATGGGTTTGAAAAAGCAAACATTTTATGACAAACATTTCTACCGCCAAAAATTATTTAAAAGTTCAAGTTAATTCGATCTCAACCTAGTCCTTGATTCTGAATAATTATTTTTCGCGTTCTACATTTCTACGTTTCTTGACTAAATTACATTATATCCATATTTTATTTCATAGATGCTATCCATTGAGAAGAAGTCGAAGAAGCTCGATGCCAAAAAACGAAAAATGAAGTAAGAGAAAAGCTTACCTTTCTTCTTTTAGTTGCTTCCATTCTGGTTGGTTTTTATTATCATTTCGGCTGATCAATATGATATCTTCAACAGCCTGAGCCAAGAAAAAACTTAGACCAGTGGTCTTTTTTGAATATTTGATATTACATTGAAGAAAAAGTGCACTTCAGGAATGTCTGTTTTTCAAGGGGCCCTCAAAACAACTTTAATACGATATAAAATTAAGTCACTTAAGATAAAAACATTATGTGAAAATATATTTGCAATTTTACATTATTTACAATAGAAAGGTTGAAACTATTAGGAAAGTGCCATAACATATTTAGCAGGTACCCTTTCCATGGTTCTACCAGTATTACGTAGGCTACAGGACGACCATATTGAGTTTCTAGTAAAAGGGTTACAGAAATTTTGTGGCGCCAAGTTATTGGGTGACTTGGAGATCATAGTTTAGACTCATGAGTCTTATCAGTATAAATTGGTAAAAACCAAAGGAACCAATCAAACGCTTCTTTCTTCCTCTCACGTTACATTCGATCCACACCTGGATATAAATTTAAGCTTTCTCTCGTTCATTATCCGACGTTTATACCCTGAAGAATTCAGACGAAAAGTGCTTTACTATGTTAGGTTTCCGGTATTTCGTGTAACCTTCAAATTCTTTTTTCTCTCGATATTTTGCATGTTCTATTTATTGATTTATTTTAATCAGAGCTTTAGCTGACGCTGAACTGCAGACCAACATCAAAGAGACTGAAACCTTCCGACTTCCGAGTGGACAAGAAATCGAGAAAGAATATATCCTTTCTAAATGTAAATTGAGCAGAGATTCATCAATAATTGTTTATCACCTTAAGTAGAAGCTGTTTTGCAGCATCATTTAACGATTGAAATTATACTGTTTTTCATCTTATCGTTGCAGCCAATAAGTTTGTAATGGCATAACGTGAATGATATCTGATAGGGGAATAGGTGGCTATGTGTATTGTGCCAAGGGTAAAGGGGGACTTAACCCCCAAAAGTATCTCCTAGCTCCCCGTTGCCCGCTGATTTGTAGTAATGACAATATAATTAAGTACCAAGAGGAAACAGACTGTTGAAAATACGATTTTTCGAGCGTTTACTAGTTCGATGTGTCTTATCTTTAACAGTCTTTTTCATTTTGCTACTCAATTTATTTACTCATTACATTGTCGATCTTTGGATAAGGTACCACACGCATCTAACATATTTTATTGGATCTGCAGTAGTGCTGGCACTTTGTTGATTTCTATTAATGTTCGTCTCCTTTCTTGAAAAATGAGATGGGTATGAACATTCAACCACTTGCAGTCTTGGGACAGTTGAAGTCTTGGGACATAAAGTTCCTTATGGGATGTCCCAAAAGTTCACAAATTTCCGCACCCTTCCAGTTGTATCTATGGCGAATCCTAATAAAGGCAACATTGCCTGTTTTAAGCCCCTCCTTCTCCTATTTTTCCAGCATATAGAGCAATAAAATTGTCTTTATTCATGTTTAACGTCAATTGTTGCCGCTTCACCACTCGAACTTCAACCCAATATAACTTTTCATGATGCACTGCTGTTCCTAGGATTCCCCCAAAATTTGTGATGCTCCTTAATTGTTCATACATAACGAGGCTCCTGATTTGACCTTGATATACCAAAGGATAAAGGATAATTTTCATGCGCTGTCGAATTTCAAAACGTTGAGAGAACCAGGAAGGTCAGTTTGTATTTATTTTTTAATATTTATTGTTATTCTGTCTGTCTCTATCAATTTCGAAGCTGTTTTTTCTGATCGAAAATAAAATCGATAAAATGAAGGTTTATGTACGGACGTTTATGCAAAGTGTTTTTTTGGTGGGGCGACCGAGGCCTGATCCTTGTAACATCGTGGAAAGATGTTTGATTGCAATTTTGAACACATATGTTTGTTTCCAATATATTAAAAAATTCATTGTCACTTTCCTGGAGTATATAGGACATGAGTGTGCATACCTGTCGATGGAGTATCTTCCCCTTACCCCCTTCCATCTTCCCCCTCCTCCTATTTTCCATCTTCCCCCTTTAATATCAGGCGGCAGTAACACGAGCTGGATAACTTCGAGATGTCGGCTCAGGGGCACTGCCACTAAATGTTGTTTTACATTCCCTCAAAACGTGGTACGAGGTGCTACAATGATTAAATAAATTTTGAAATTAAGTTATGCCAATTTTCAAGGTCAAATTCGGCCGTCGCCTTCTCTTTTGTGTTGAAGAGTTCCTACAACAACCATGGTGGTGTTGTATGGTGTTACTCAAACTGAGGCATGACAATCTGCTCTAAAATAGAGAATTTGGTGTTGTATTATCATCGTTAGTATTCCTAGCATTGAGGGTCATGCTACCCGAATACCATTTTGCTATAACGATCGTTGTATACTAACAAATCGTGCAGTCTGTTGCCTATACAAATACATGTTCTTTTATTGTAGAAGCCGGTCAGAATACCTGTCTTTGCTTCTCCGTGATTTGACATCGTACTACAGTTATAACGAATTCCTCATGGAACAACTAATGAATCTTTTCCCTGGCGGAGAGGTATGAAAAGGCACACATTCTTTCCGTATTAACTCAACTGTCAAAGAATGATTACTTGCAAGGCTGTATCGTATACAGGTGCAAATATCAGAAACAGTTATTGCATTTCAGACTTCTGTCAGCGTATGGGCCCCTTTTATCTGGCCTGCGGCATCGAAAGTAGTTTTCTAGTTCCTCAATTCATTACAATTAAGCTCTTTTGACACAAAATCAAATCTCCATTCACTAGGACGATGACCTAAAAACTTTTGCTGTTTTTTTGAAGACTTTGTTTGTCTTGTATTCATCATTTTGACATTCTGACTTATTTCAATGGTGAAATCCTTAAATCTATACTATAGCGTTGTGGTACTGGGTAAAACCTACATTCTCCCTAACTTAAGGCTGATTTCCACTAGGCGAATTCTTTCGCGCGAATCGAATTTTTGCCAATGTGAGCATGCGTGGTGTTATGTTCTCAGATTTCGCAGCGAAAAAATTCGATTCGCAGAAAGTAGATCACGGTCCTACTCTATCGCTACGAAAATTTATTCGATTCGCGCGAAAGAATTCGCCTAGTGGAAATCGGCCTTTAGGCTTGCAGTACTGTCGTTTGCCCTGCATGGATTGCTAGTCGTCTTCCATAAACATCCCTCTCCCCATTTCAACATTTCTCTTCGAACATTTTTCTTGTTACTTTATTTTATTTATTCATATTCTTTTACAGTAGCGGGCACTTGGTCAAATATTTGGGGAGGGCAAGATGATAGGATGTCCATTGTCTTCAAATTTATTGGGGGTGACTGCCCCCCTGCCCCCAGTCGCCCGCTACTGTTCTTCTACTGTCGTAACCTGCAGTCTCATGAAACTACTTCCCTTTCTCTCCAGATCATAGGAGCAAAAGACAAAAAATTTAATATTCTATAGACAGCATGCATAGATTCGCAGTCATTAATATATTAAATGTTATCTGTAATATATTTCGTCCCTGCAGCTTTTGGAGTTTTTAGAAGCCAACGAAGTCCAAAGGCCAGTGACAATAAGAAGCAATTCTTTGAAGACGAGAAGGAGAGACTTGGCGCAGGTATGGTCAATCGCCACAACAAATCTTCTTTGAATTTGATTTACATCCACTGTTTTTCGTTTTTCTTTCATTTATATTCCACAATGTTTTCTAGGCCTTGATAAACCGTGGCGTCAACCTTGATCCGATCGGGAAATGGTCAAAAGTTGGACTGGTTATCTATGATTCATCAGTTCCAATCGGTAAGGTTTTTGTTCTCTTGATCTCGAATTACGAATTACTCGGTTTTGGTTTTGACTGAATCATGGCATAACTATGGGGGCAACGCAATCCTTTCATTTCATAGCCATCCTTTCAATGCTCTAATAAAAAGTCCTATACTTGGATCTTCTTGGATTTCAGTAGCCTACCCCCTTGGACGCTGTCCTAAGATTGTCATTATTCGACGCCCGGTATAATTATTTCCGTTCAGTCCTGTGTCTCTGTTAATGTGGTAAACAATTCAAAAGCAGATTTCTTTTTCTTTCTCACTCGAAGGTGCGACACCAGAATATTTGGCTGGTCACTACATTTTGCAAGGTGCTTCTTCCCTTCTGCCTGTGATGTCATTAGCACCTCAAGAGGGCGAGAGAGTTCTTGACATGTGCGCTGCCCCTGGTGGTAAAACAACTTACATAGGTATGATACATTGTTTTACTAGTAAAAAGCTTATAAAGATCGTCTCACCCCTTCCACTATTTCAACTCGTTGATTGTAACGCGCTGTTAGAAAAAGAATGATAGTACTTTTTTATACATTTCCAAAACGTTAAATGATAAGTTACTAAAATTTCATCAACTACATGCTACTTTACATACACTACAAAGACGATAGCCAGGGAGCATCAACTATGACTACCCTGGGGCCATAACATAGAGAGAAAAAGATACACTTTACAAATACAGGTGTGGTTCGGTCTATGAGAAGTAAATAAAGGGGTGTGGTTCAGACTATGAGAAGTAAGTATGAGAAGTGATAGTACTTAGGTGCAATGTAAAGTGGTGCAGATGCCTCTCCTAGTCTACTCTACCTCTTTGGCTTAACGTGTGTTTTGGCTCGTTAACATTAGCACCCTTTTGACAAAATCCTCGTTATACCATTGATAATTGTATCAATTCTCTGTTGCATTGCTACTGAAATTCATCTTACGCAGCCTAGTGCAAGGAAAGAGTTCTGCAAGGACAGCCATTTAATACATTAAATAAAGCTACGAATTTATATAGCTTCAAAGTCAAAAAATTGTAAATGCAAAGAGAGTAATAATAACACACAATTCTTGCCAAAAATAGTTGGAATGCTATCCTTTGTCTAAATCGTAATAAGAACTTAAGTCTAAAACTACCTTACCAATATATCACTGTTGCTTCAAAAAATTTCCTCCCCATGCTCAACGTTGATTTATTTTCTTATTACCAACGGGTGTAATACCTCAGTACAGCTTCCAGAGACAAAATTTGCCTTCAGCATCAGAACGGTGAAAAAGGCACCATTGTAATTCGTAAGGGGGGGGGGGAGGGTTTCAAAAAAAGCTTTAGCTCTGTGCAAGTGTTCCAATGTTTACCAACAATTTTAACATGAAATGTACATGCGTAACCAAATGTACAAATCTGCCCATAAATCAAGACTTATATTTTGGCCTGTGTTGTTGGGGGACAAGAGTATAGTGACCCCTTCTTGAGACAAGGAGACCGCATGCAAAAATCAGGTTTTTTATGAAGAAACGCAAGCACAGATATTTTGAGCACAATATGTGAATCACGTCTCATCCTTTTTAGCATCTCTTATGAAAAACAGTGGGGTGATTGTTGCTAATGATGCCAGCCAGGAGCGTCTAAAAGCTGTGGTTGGAAATGCACATCGTCTAGGTATGTTGTTTTAGCAGCATTGTAGAGTTTCTAATGAATTATTATCACTTTTATTACCCAAGCGATGACCCTGTCTTTTTTCAAGCAATGTCATCTGGTCACTTTTTATCGGTCGCCCTTATTTTGTTTGATATTGTCACATTAAAGTTAAATTTGCGTTTACATTTTGTGCAGACTTTTTTGAATCGGGTAGGGTAAACATGGTTATGAAGAGTTTGTCATGGGATCTATAATGGCCATTGTTTATATCTCAGAATGGAAGTTATTTTGGTATAACTATCATCTTCAGTCATTTCTATTCTCTGTCTATACCGAGATATTTGAATGCTTGTATGTTAAGTATGTATGTTCTAAATGCAAAGACTTTTTTCCCTGTTGATATATATCAACTATACCTGCTTGACGATTAAATTCAATTTCCAGGTGTTACCAACGCGGTTATATGTAATTACGATGGAAAGTCTTTCCCAAAGGTAAGCCAACAACATATTATTTGAAGCTCGACTTTGTGTTAGCTGTCTTCTGTGTGACATCCTTTCGTGTTGGAGGATTAATTCCCCCACCTTTATCTTGACATGGCCTGTCTACTTCATTTAATTTGGGTTCATGTTTATTTATGGAAAAACACTATTTAAAGGGTTACGCAATGAAATTATGCAAATTTTCTCCAAGAGCCACGCCCATTAAGACCCTCTCCCCACCTACTCTAAATTACCTCACAGTGTCCTTAGCTTTCTCATTGCCAGGTCTCATAATGATCTGAAAACCCTAAGGTGAAACGTTGCCATTTCCTTATAACTTGATATTTTATGTTACAACAGGAGCATTCAAATCCCTAATATTTTAACATGGTTCTGTAAAAATATTACCTCGACATTTATAAATTATTTTTTAATTGTTTCTTCCTTTCTGCCTACCTTCCGCTGTTATAATGATGGCAATTGAATTTTTTTCTATAAAATGCAAACTTCTGCTTACCAATTAAGGGACCTGTGAATCCTGTATCTCCTCATTTTTGTTGCTTTTTGGGATCATTTGAGACCGGGGTTTGATATATTGCTTCTACTGTACACAACGAGTTTTGGTAGAATCATTGATTTTTCTGTTTGCCTTTGACAGGTAATGGGTGGGTTCGACAGAGTGTTACTTGACGCTCCTTGCAGTGGGACGGGGGTCATATCAAAGGACCAGGCTGTTAAAATCAACAAGGTTTGTTTTAGATATCTTGGCGATTGAAGTTAATAATAATTGTGATTAAAACAGTTTATGTCATTCTATGTCAAGTATCCAATGACTCTTTAGGAGCAAAAAGCTGTTGGGACAGCAATGGGATTATTCCTTTCAAGTGAAAGGCGCTAGATAAAGAGAAGCGTTTAGACAGGGGAATAAATAAGGTCTTAATTCCTATCCAGTCACGTTATTAGTCAAAAGTAGCCAATAGCAGAACGGATTGGCTCTGCTTTGACCAATCAGTGCCATCTTGCTCCTGATGAAATTGAAATTGAATCTAGATATACGAAACTTGTTCCCATGCAGATAGACCCCAGGGTTTCCTTGATGTTGTCAGGCTGTTATTCTCCAGTATCTCAACGTTGTCAGGCAATTATGTAGTTAGATCATTTATATCTAACTAAAATAAGAGTGCCAAAATTGTGGTAGCAGATTGGGCCTATATCTTTACCGACACAGTTTCATTGGTGAAACGAATCTAACGTTTTATGCCTACACGGAAATAGTGCGCTTTCAAATACTCCGTTTTCAGTTGCATATTTATATATTTTACTGTATTATACTGTATTTACAATATTTATTTTAACTTAGAACTTTTTTCTAACTGACGGGGTACCATGCGTAAAAAATGGAAATGAAAATGAAAATGAAATGAAAATGAAAATGAAAATGAAAATGAAAATGAAAATGAAAATGAAAATGAAATGAAAATGAAAATGAAAATGAAAATGAAAATGAAAATGAAAATGAAATAAATCAAAGTGAAATGAAAATGAAATGAAAATTAAATGAAAATTAAATGAAAATTAAATGAAATGAAAATGAAAATGAAATGAAATGAAAGTGAAAATGATATGAGAATGAAATGAAAATGAAATGAAAATGAAAATGAAATGAAATGAAAATGAAAATGAAATGAAAATGAAATGAAAATGAAATGAAAATGAAAATGAAATAAAAAGAAAATGTAATGAAATTGAAATGAAAATGAAATAAAAATGTAATGAAATTGAAAATGAAATGAAAATGAAATGAAAATGAAATGAAAATGAAATGAAAATGAAATGAAAATGAAATGAAAATGAAATGAAAATGAAAATGAAATGAAATAGAAATTAGTCAAAATGAAATGAAAATGAAATGAAATGAAATGAAAGTGAAAATGATATGAGAATGAAATGAAAATGAAAATGAAATAAATGAAAATGAAATGAAAATGAAATGAAAATGAAATGAAAATGTAATGAAAATGAAATGAAAATGAAAAGAAAATGAAAATGAAA